AAATAACATCTACGAGATATTCAAAAACTGACTACGACTCGTAAATAGCAGAATTGTAAAAAAAAATCTTTTCTTCCTAAATATTTTCAGTATCCTACTACGGATTACCTAGTACTATATAGGCTAGTTGTTGTCCGGTATCATTACAAATTCTACATATGTTCTTCAAAATAGTTTTACTATTCAAACAAATTGGCTTCTGTATGAATGTCACCCTAGCTAGGGACCATCGAGTTCTGCAGGCAAAGCTGGCTTGATTTATATCAATGTTTTGTTTTTTAATTTCTGGTGTTGAAATCTAAGGAAGTACGCATATCTAAAACAAATAACTGGCGGATTATTCATACACACTTACCGAACTAATAACCAGACGAAGGGTTAGTTTACAATGCCTTTTTTTCATGGGGTAAATATAGAAACCCTATATCCCTCTCACCTCCGTTTATAGTCAAGTTGTGTGTAGGTGAACAATATTTTGTTGCGTTTGCAGCGTTGTTACCTCTTGTGAAGTAGAGCCCCAACTTGACAAAGTTTAGAACCAGAGCGTGGTTCTCATGGGAAGGAAAATCCCATGTGCAATTTACACTCTGTCCATATTCACGTGGATAGTCAGGTGACTGTACTGTACTATTTATATGGTTGACTCGCTCCTTCAAGTTACATTTTGTGCTTGCGACATGGTTAGTAGCACCTAAAAACACGGACGAATACAAATCATAAAAGTGCTCATTGTTATAATATCTGTTGCTTTAGATCAGGGATGAGCAACCAGCGGCCGAATGCGCCCACAAGAAAAAATTTTGCGGGCGCAGAGAAGTGCCAATTTTAAATGGTCTGAAAATCGAGCTTTTAATTAATTTAAATCTGGTACGTGTGAGTAATTCCAATCCTTTTGCGTTGCAAAGCCTATACCCGAGTCCTCTATCTGATCTTGTGCGAAGCGAACAACGCATGTTATAAGATCAAAATTTTGTGCTTGCAACTATACTGATGATCGTCTATTCTAACCATATTGACGCCGCGTTTCAAAAATTCTGGGCTCGTACCCAGCGGAAATATCCGGTCCTTTTATTTCAGCGGCCATTTTTTTGAAGCAGTAGGGGGAGAAGCGAAGTAGCGCCTCATCAAAATACTACACTTTTTTTGAAAAATGCGATTATTGGTTTCAATGGTGACTGTATATTAAGGTCGATTTTATTTAACCGCAAGCAAAATAATGTGGGCGACTTGATAAAACCTTTTCATTTGAATATGCAACTGTACATTGTAGTGGTGGAATTTCTTTTTTTTTTATCACTGAGATCTTAACACGGTATGTCAGCATAAATAGGAACTGGTGAATCAATTGAGCTTAAAATTGTAGCATTGCCATTTCTTGATGGTACGATATCATTAATTTTCAGCAATGCAGACGTCTGAATGGTGTTGAAAACCAAAATTCACTTTATACTCACATGCTATCAGTACAAGTTTGTAAATGAGATTCAACATGTTGTCGTCCTATGTTGTATGCTGATATTGTCAATCATCAATAAATCTTCATTTTGATAGTTTTATCTCGAAGGTAAGGTCCTTACTAAGGTTCTGTCACAGTACTGATATGAACGAACAAGGATTTTAGTTTATCAAAAATAAACGATTCGGTGTTTTAAACATGACGAAAAAGTCATGCTTGGGAGGAAAGAATTTTCCGAGAACTTTTTCAAAATGATTCAAGAGCCTTGCTGCACACTAACACAAATATATTTCTGTAACGTTTCGTCTGACCAAGGTCAGACTTCTTCAGACATACATAGTTCAACTACAACACGAAAAGCAGTTACATGCATATTTAAACAATCAGTGTAGAATTATAGGAGTCACGCATGTTAAATAATCAATAAAATCGGTGAATTTCTTGATTGAATAACAGCGGGTGGCCGAAATACGTGTCATTGATGAGATACAGAAATATATTTGTGTTAGTGTGCAGCAAGACTCTTGAATCACTTAGGATTGGTATCTCTACTCTTGCTACAGCATCCTTGCAATATATGCATACGGATCCACCGGCACAAAAGCATAGAAGAAGGATAAGTAGTTAGTCTCGCAGAAACCAAATAATCAGTGTAACTTTTTCAAAACCGGGAAATTTTTACTTTTTGAATAAACATATATTCTGCAACTGCTTGAAAACCAAGCATCATGCTAGAATATATGGACATAAAATTCGATATATATTTAAGAATTGCGGGCCCATAACATTCTAAGAACTTCTTCATTTTTCAAGTATTGAACGTTTAAAATCAATTCGTCGATAAGCTGCGAAGAACAATTCCTTTCAAAACAACAACAGAAAAAACACTAACAAGAATATTAATGACAAGAAGGGAGGAAATCTAACAAATTGACCCAAAGGTCCTCTTCGTGTTCAAAAAATATCCCGAAAAAGATTTGCCACATTGATTTAAAAATGGCATTGAGATTTTCATAAAAAATAGTTAAAATCAGAGAGACCGATGAGCCTTACAACTCATGTAGCAAATGTAACACAGAGCTTATAAATGAATAAAAACAAGAAATTGATGCCCCTTTATAAATACAGAGATGGCAAGGTAAGTTGTATGAGCATTGGTCGCTTATCAAAACACTCCGATGAAAATTTTGCCATGAATCCTACTACTTCATATTCTTACTCAAACCATTTCCTAAAGATTCATATATATATATATATTTCAAACCAGAACATGTACTTATTATTCATCTCATTTTCCATGCTTACACGGTACTCTCGTAGTATGTGTATCAGGTTAGGGTTAGGACATAATTTTTATTCCGATTTTCCCTATTTTAGTTCCATTACGAGTCGTGGACTGTCTGCTTTAGCCAAGTGGATATGCTCCCTGCTTATAGGTTTCAGTCTCTTCACACAACTTGATGTAAAGTAGACGAACAAAATTAGTTACCTCCATATTGGTACACATACTTCTATAGAGCGCCGCTCACACTACTCAAAGTTCTATATATTTTTTAATCAAGGACATATATCACGAATTCTACTCCATATGCTTACTCCACCACAGTTTTTTTGTTATTTTTTTTACACACCTCAGCTTATTGAAGAAACAATTACAGACTAGTAATACGTAACAACAAACTCACGAAGTTACGACTTTTTACTATATATGGATATGGTAAAACCGCTGTCTACCGTACTATTCCTTCAAAATACTACTTATCCTATCCTAGAACATACCATTGAATACTATTTACGTATCCTTTCACTTACTCACTTAAAGTACGTATTTAACTTACATTGAAATAAAACCTTACAATGAAACACATACATATCTTTCCTCATACGCAAGATCGTTTGAACTTATCAATTGAAGTCATCTTTGAGCAATAACAATAGTTCACTCCTATAAAAAAAAAATCGCTGAAGTTTTATTTTCAGTTTCAGGTATTCTATTTAACGCATGTGTATGGGTCACGTATTCGAATTATTACGTAGGATAGCTATAATGTCCTTGAAAACGCCCGGGCCCTCATAGCTTACGGAATACACGTTCAATTATTTTTTATATTCACATTACTTCTCGCACTCGGCTGTGTCCTTCATCGATATACAGGGTGTTCATTCCTAACCTGGTACACATACTATGTTCAGGTGACGCGCCATCTTAGTGCACATACTTCTGGAGCACCCATAAAGCACCCCTTTACAATTTCAATTTTATAGTGAAGTCAGTTCTCAATATATCTCAACCAGGTTTGTTGTTATTTATTTAATTAGTAATTGTTTAAGTATTTTTACTTTATTCAATACATCTGTGAGGGCCGATACAATATATGGTATTCTTAAATTCCTTTTGGAATTTTAAAAATTCTCAAGACTTTATGGACACCATACATATTTTTATGAACAGTATTCAGATTTTTACTCTGAGCAGAACAAGGATGAGCTATCACTGCTAAGTGAAAAAAAAACTATTTTTAGAAGAACAAAAATCGTTCCGGCTTGGCATTAGCCTGTCCAATAAATTGTAGTATAATATAGAAATTTTTGACAGTATGCTTGCATAAAAAAAAGAATAACAAATGGAAACAGATATACATTCTATACCCATTCTATAGATGCGTATGTGTATATTATGTATAATGTGTACGCGATTGTTTTCATGTATCCTTCCTTTTACCATCAAATTGCTATTGAAGCAGGAACTTCGAAACTTGATGTTGAAAATACATTGAATTTTCAAGTAATTTTGAAGTCATTACCATTAAATAGCATACACGTTATGGGTTATTCTTCCTTAAATTTAGCTATTGGAAGAAAATGTTATTCTAATAAAAAATTATTATTATATTTATAATAATAGTTTTTTAATGTATTGAACAAATAAAAAAAAAAGAAAGCAGTGATGAACTATATTAGGACCTGAGGTTGATTATTTTCACTACGAGCATAATACTGTGCGTCACTCGTTCGAAACTACCGAACTAACGACAATTCGCTGTTGTTTTGCAGAAAGTGAAAATGATGCAGCAGAAGAACCAATAGTGCGTTTGGAATTCAATCAAAAAAAGTTTTTCACTCAAAACTGTAAATCAGTTTTTAATTAAAAAACTTCTTTATATTTTTTTATCGATTTTGACTGAATTTCAGTTTTATCTACTTATAAAATGTGTTGAAGCTGAGGTGGATTGTATATAAATGGAATCTTGTCGTTACTTGCAACCACGTTATGCATGATAATCTTGTTCATTCCAATCAACTAGCGGTATACAAGCGTAACGTAAAATTATTGTCGTTGTTCTCAATACGAAAATCAGAATAAATATATTGTCCTGAAATCTTTCGGCCAAGCATAAGTAATATATAGTGAACTTTAATGCCACTTGTTTATTTGAGTGCTTTGTGACTCATACTTCTAAGAAATTCTATCCGTCTGGTCAATTTTTTTTTCAGATAACCAGGGAAATTCCCCGATAAATCTGATTTGATTTACGGTTCACAAGCGCATTCCTGTGCGACAGGTAGCCTATGAATGTTAGGAACAAATGCTTTTCCTGACGCCATTCCCGTCTTTTGATAAACTTGAATTGAAGCTGAAGTTTGTGAGATCTGGTGCTTAAAGGTGAAGACAAAGGACAGTGAGTCAATAAATATGATCGATGTCCGTTAGATTTTATGATAATTAAAAATACAATCAAAAATAATTAGCATTTCATCGTTATTTCTGTTTCATTGATACCAATATGACGCTGGAGTTGATTTCGTGAAACTTTATTCTATTAAATAAAGAAGTTTAAACTTTAGCGTTGACCCGTGAATGTATATTAAAATACTTATATCAAGACAAAATAAAACGAGGTATATCTGTATATTGAGAGTAATTTTTGAATTTATTAGTTTATATTTTTATTCCAACAGCATGAGATTTAGCTACCTTTCAGTGTATCCAAATTGTTATTGATGTTGAATATGGGGATATATTGGTCCACCGGAATACTAGTTTTTACTATTTGTTTTACCATTGGAGAAGACATCCAGAATGACTGGCCAACATATGAACACCCAGGCTATACCACACAACTATGTTATCTTTGTCCTCCAGGATTCCATTTAGTGAATCACTGCGAATATTCAAACTCTACAAAACCGGCTTATTCTACTTGTAAAAAATGTAGAGAAGGGTATTTCACTAGAAGGTTTGATTTTTTTTTATTGTTTAAAAATAATTAGTATAATATCGTTTTTATATTTAATAATATGTACGGTACATGAGATGTTCACACTTTTGCTCCAAACGAGGCCCTGGTCAAGATGGAGACTCAAGCACATAGTTTTCAGTGTAAAAAAAGTTTGGTATTTTTTTCGTTTCGACTTAATCGAAATTCTTATCTATTGTAGTTGAATACCTTCAACTGGACAATTTATAAATTTGAAATACTTTAGTTATGTAAGCAATTCTCAATACTGTGCTGATAAATAATTTAAAAATTTAAATTTTTCAATTTCCTTTTCATTTTATAATTTCTTTTTGGTGACTATGTCAATTAAATGATAATATGTATTTATCTCAAAGCTGGAACAAAGATGAATCTTGTAAAAAAAGTATCAAATGCAAGTCCACTGACAACAAATTGGATCAGGAAAAGGTAATCACACAATGTTTTATGCACATTCAACCATGAACAATTTGTGAATGTCTGATTATTATGTGTATCACGATTGGCAGTAGGTAATTCCTATTATTGTAAGATATCACTTTACAAGATTATTTGTGTACTTAGAGTAGACATTCTTTATGTCGTCATAAAACAACAAAATCAGATATATTTTGACTATTGAGAAAAAATACTAAACCCATTTTTTTTTGTTCAATTTACAAATTTAAAAAAGTGTGTTATTGTACTAAACACAATGATATTTTTTAAGGATCACTGTTGTTGTCCCGTAGGAATGATTGAAGAACATGGACATTGTGTTCAAGGAATTTCTAAGCATAGAGCTCATCATGTGAAATGTCAAAGACATCAAACAACATGTCCAGCATGCCCTGAAATTCAAGAGAATATGGAAAGTGGGTTCATGAAAAATTGAGCAATACATTTTTTTAATTGAAAGCTTGTAATAATATATGAGCCCAGATTTCAACTTACTTTGTGTTCACCTACAAGAAAAAATTTTATTTCAATATGTATATCAGATACCTATTTCTATACAATTGTTTTAAAAGTTGATTAGTTTCATTTCAAACATCTTTCTCTCTGTTATATTCTATGTGGCCAAAACTTCAATCAGAAACATGGCATAGCGAAAATGCATTGATTTGGTAGGTGTCACTTTGGTATGCTCATCGTTAACTCAGACTTTTTAATAGTATTCATCCCTAACCATAACTAAAATCACTGCGATCACACAGCCACTGAGATCGCATACCAAAGTGCCATCTATTTTCACTGTGTTTATTCTGAATGACCAATTTTCATAAGTCTGATTGGGGCACAATTAGAATCAATAACTGCATAAAAACGTGTTACTATTTCTATAGCAAAGTTGGAATACTGGCATCTTGCAGTAGCATTCATGGCAGGGATGATAGTGACATCAATTTTAGCTGGCATAGTCACATGTTGTTGTTTCAGAAGTGCAAAATGTAAGTTTGTCTTCATTATATATAAGTATATGTGAAATATGTAGCATATTTTGATAAAAAGAAATATCGGACCTCCTGAAGTATGCGCACCACGATGGCGCACAACCTGAACTCAGGTTGTGTACCAGGTTAGGGTTCAGGTTATGCGACATCTTGGTGCGCATGCTTCAGGAGCACCTTTTCATCTATAACTCATAACTGTCTGCTATATTTCCATTACAGACTGCTGTATTTTTTTTTATTTCAAATTTCTGTGCTTTAAATCAGTGGCAGCTTAATTGTTGAACAAATATCATATACAAGCTCTGCATAAAACATCAAAATTCAATATATTTTTTGATTTATTTAAGAATTCTAAAAATTCTTGAGACTAGGATAAATCATGGTTTAATATTGGTGCGAATCTCAAAGAAATGTGAAGAGGCACAAAATGAGTTTGCTTCATGATGTAATTGACTTGTATAAATTTTTCTTCTATAAAACCAAAAAAACACCTTGGCATGAATGAGAAATATTACAAAAATCTGAAAAAATCAGGATACTGTCATCCCCAATTTTATCCTATCCTATTAACATCATAGCTTTTTGAGTGCCATTGCAGTATTGTTTAGAGTCAAAGGCAATTTTAATTCTAGCTTACATTATAATATTTTTTCAGGTAATGTCAATTTACAAAAATGCACTGGACCAAGTATCAAAACTAACGAAGAAAATGATATTGCTATTCCAATTAATGACAGTACACAAGGCAGTCCAGTGTTTGTAGTAAAAAGTTTACAAAAAAGAGGTTTGTTTTGACACTATTATTTAACTTCTGAAATGATAAAAGCCAGATCTAACTAACAATATTGATGTTTTTTTTAACATCAGAGTTGACTAAAGACAATGATTAAACAGCCTAAAACTGAGTAATCCACATCAATCCAGATCGGAAAGTAGAATTCCTTTGAGGATTCAAGGACTACAGATAATATAATTTTAAAAGAACTTTATAATGAAAGCAGTTTTGGGCTAGGAAGTCTGTTTATGCGAAAGCACCTCAAATGCAGAATAGTAAGATTCACAATATAAGTATCTATCAGATTGACCTCTACTGCATTCACTCTCTCAGTTATTCTTGAACTTTTGTTGTAACTTTTCTCAAGAATTTTTGTAATTTTCAGTTTCTGATTCAGGAGTTTCTATCAGCATCATGGGATCCACAAGTTCAATAAACTCACGTGATGATGTATGTATCAATTCCATAGAAAATGATAATACAGTAGGTCTTTCGAGAGTAGGGTATATGGCGGGGGTGTGCATACTTTAATACAAGAGGGCCAGATATAAATTACTGAGTGAAATTGCGGTCTGCACCTTTATCTAGCATATGTAGGCTTTCTGGTGATTGCAGGCACAAAAATTTTGGTTTTTGAATTTATGACATGTGTTGTTTGCTTTGCACAAGTTAGCTGTTAGGCCATTGTAGCATCATATGCATAGATAATAAATTGGACTTGGCTTTATGCTTTGTAACTCGTAAGGATCATAATTACTCGCAGGACCAAATTGAACTAAATGAAAACCTTGTTTCGCGAGCCTGTCATTCAGAATTTTTTCATTGTGGGCCGAATGTTGCACACCCCTGGTATATGGTATTTCAAACAAAGCTCTTCACAAAACACCACTGCTAAGTCAGGTAGTTCGATAGTTGGGAGGACTGGAATCTTTTAAGTTCGACATTTTCTACTCAATTTGTTTCTCCCTGGTTGAGGTGATGATCATGGATTATGAAGCCAATATTTTAACCTACATTCCTAGTAAAGTCTAACATACGAGTATGCACTTGCTTTGAACAAATTCTTCAAGAAGCTCATGGCATTCGGTGGACTTGCGTAACATTGCTCAGCGATGTGTCTCTTTCATTTCTAAGCTTTTATGATGCCCATGAAAATTTTAGTTGAAGATATGAACAGACAACTGCATTCATCTTTCAAAGGACATCCCAGGTCAAAGATAATTGTGAAAAATAACTTTCAACTTTCAGCAATACAGTATTTTAACATTTTGCTATTTTTTTATCTAACTTATTGATGTTATATATAAAAGTTTACTTTTATAAACCAGCAACTCATGTTCAAGCAAAACCTCAGAGAAAGAATATTTTCATCATTGATCGAAAATGATGATTTCACTCCACTAAGTGGTGAAGATGCAAGGTTAGATGATGGTAAGTTGACGGACACTAAGTTGTATGCATGTAAAATTAATTTCATATGTTTTTACGAAATTAAAACATAAAAATGATGATATGAAACTTAGATTATACTATTTTGAACTCCCTAGAATCGTCAGTCATAAGTTAAGGCCTGTGGGTGGGTTTTCTAAAATGAAATGGAAATTTGATATGAAATGAAAATTTTATATTACCAGTAGATTAAAATATAAGTTCAAAACCATTCGTAGAATAAGATTTTTTAGTTGAAATTTGAAAAGGGTAGTCTTATCAACACAGTCAATTTTCATTGATATGTGATTCAGGGGGGAATTAGATACCTGCCTCTGTATTCAAAAATAGGAATTCAATTCATTTCTAGTTGAGATAATTTCTGGATTTACATAATATTATATTATTGTTGAAAACTGCTTTTTGATAAGTGTTCATATGAAGAGACTGAAGTAACTCACATTGTGCCATACTGTCATTATATGGTTGCCAGTTTGCATTTCTAACAAAAATTTAACATTTCTGAAAAAATCTTTAATTTTCAGCATGTCGCATCATGGAACGCTTGGTTGTTCGTGATCCAACTGATTTCAACAGACAGGTTTTGGGTTTGTCAATAGAAGACTGCCTGAGGATTGAAAATCATGGTAACTTTAGCTGAAATTGTTTTTGTTCATGTGACACAATAGTACTTCAATTTGTTGAAATTGTAGGCAGTGGTTCCAAACCGTTTTTGATACATTTTCCTGTTGCCTATTTTGAAACCTTCTCACTCTCTATACATAAAAACGCTTTTAACCATTTGTGCAATCTTTAAAAAAAATTGTTAGCTAATGTTAGTGCTTCAAATTGCACTGTTTTTTGACAAATTCGAATAGTTTCTAATTTGTCCATAAATATACTTTACAATACTAAATCACTCAAATATATTTGAAAATTACACAGAATACAAAGTAATATTTCTCTACTTCCTTCTCGAAAACAAGAAAATTCTCGCCAAGTTGGGTAGCGGTGTTGTAGGTTGTAGAGTATGGTAGCAGTCCTAGATTTAATTATATTGTGATTGTCTCGTTTAGAATTGAATGTGTTTTATAATGTTCACCTTTTAAAGGTGAGTGAATTTTCTGCAGCATACTTCCTGCTTACCTAATGTTACTGTGTAATGAACATGATTATTTTAGAAAACCACATTCACCATTTAATTCCACAGATTTTTTTTTTTATTAGACAGGAACTTTGTTCACATATGAGGTTAAGACAGGAAATTTGACGCTTCAAAAGGCTAACACAGACAGTCCCTGAACTCATAATGGAACTAAAATGCGGAAAAGAGGAATAAAATTATGGCCTAACTTTAATCCGGCACACATACTGGAAGTACTGGAAATTTAATATGACTTTTTATATTAGGTAAAGATGTATCTTCTCAAATAAGACATGGATTTTTAACCTGGAAACAAATAAATGGTTCAAATGCCACTGTAGATTGTTTGATGAATCTCCTACGTCAGGGTGGTAGAAAAGATGTAGCTGATGCAATTGAAAATCAGCTTGATACCAGTTCTATGTATGGTGAGTGAAAACTTCATCGTATATCAAGTTTGGTATGTAGCATATCATTTTATTCATTGATATTTTTCACCATTGGGATGGCGTTTATCTACGGATTTTCGTACATGTTGCGGCAAAGAATTGTGTACTGAGATGTGATGTTTTATTGTTCTTACTATATTTAATATAACTAAATCTATAAAAAAAAAAATCTATGTCTGATTTCTAAACAGTATTATTCAAACCTAATGGGTAATGCGTTATTTTTATTTTGTGTTTCTATCAAATACATTTAACATTTACATATCATCATCTTTTTAGAAACATTGTTCATGCAAGCAGAACTTGATATAGGTAAGTTATATTTATCAAAAACACATTCATGTATTCACAAGAATATTAGACCGTCATACACAAACAAAAGTTCAAGTGTAGACAAAAGTAAATAATTGACTCCATTTTTTGTAGAAGCAATTAAGAAATTTATGGGTCCCCCTTTTGTTTCAGGTCACCCTGTACAAAAATCTTCCTAGTGCTATGTTTGAAATTTTTTTTTTTAACAATAGAGCTTCAATTACAAATCCATGAACTTTGAACCTGTTATAGATTTATACTTTTTCTTTTCAGCAATCAGTTTATGTGAGAAACACTTGGATATCGAAGATGCTCTGCCTTTATTCAGAATGCAAATGGAGTTGGGTGAAATGGAAAGTTTTCCAGGTTTTAAAAACAATTCATGATTTTTTTAAATAATTTGTGCTAATAAATTACCCGAAGACCTTACCGGTAATCAAATATTAATATGGAAATACTGAGTGATTCATTATCACTGACAACAATCTTTAAACTTGTGATTTCAATTAATCGCATCTAAAAATTAAATTGGAAATTTATTCCATTCTCCATTACTTTATTTTGAATGGTCATCCAGGATGGTCACCGGTCATCAGGCCTTTTTTCTGACGGGTTTTTGATGACAATTTTGCTAATTGTGATGTTTTTCTTATTTGACCATATTATTTGTTTTGGTTGTTATTGAATATTTTTACCATTCTTACACAAGCCTTGATGCCCTGAATCGCCTTGTTATGCTTTACTTCTATCTGATCTTTTATATGGTTAATTCTGTTGCCCAAATTTCATTTATGCATCCATACATCCAAAACTGATTTTCATATTGTGGTTTCTACAATAATTGTATTCTATTATTTCACCACAGTAAAACCAAATTAGTTCATGTCACACTTCAGAAATGGATTTTGGTCAGAGTTTCAAAGCTGTACCTGTCTTTGTCTTGATTTTAGGGTAGGATTTACATATTTATTCCGGAGAGAGGAAAGTCGATAAGACGGCTTAACCATATGGCGAACCACGGCCTCTCGTCCGGTTACCATTCCAAGTCGGGTATGGGATTAGTTAGTTATTTGTTTACGGAAGCATGAACTTGATGGTGGAGGAAGCTGTAACCGACCAGCGCTTGCGTGAACCACCGTACGATGGCGAGGAGTCCAGCAATCCTCTGGCACATAATCATCCCTGCGTGGGATTCGAAACTGCGAACCCACGCAGTGATACGGTGGCGAGCGTCTTTCTAACGCTTAGCAGGATGAGAGACACCACCACACCCTAACAATACAATAAATAGATAATTCAGATAATACAATGTCTAATTTCAGGATTTGGCTGCACAGATCCATGTAATTTCCACAAAACCTTAAAATGTGACACAAACCATTTGGTTATACTTCAAGAATTTATCCTGCCAGTGCCTGCGAAATAAGAAAAACAAAATAATTTATAAACACATAGTGTACCATAGTCATAGTCAAATTATTTCATCAATTTGTTGATATTATATTATTTAACAGAAAAGCGTTCAGACTGTGTTAGAGATGGTCTGAGCAAATGGAAGGCTAAGCAAGGAAAATATGCCACAGTTGAGCTCCTGCTGACCTGTTTAAAAGAAGCAGGATTGATGGATTTACATGATAAAATTTGTCTCAAGTTGAAACTGGATTCATCACATTCCAATGAAGAAGATATGCCTTCACATGCTGGTATAGCCATATTTTTGTTTGTATGATTTTTATAAAAGGATTTAGGATAGGATTTACATATTTATCCCAGGGGAGAGGAAAGCCAATAAGACGGCTTATCCATATGGCGAACCACCGCCTCTCGTCCGGTTACCATTCCAAGTCGGGTATGGGATTAGTTATATTGTTTGTTTTCGGAAGCATGGACTTGGTGGTGGAGGAAGCCGGTCAAGTCACCAGCGGTTACGTGAACCACCCAACGCCGGCGAGGAGTCCAGTAATCCTCTCGCACATAACCATCCCTGCATGGGATTCGAACCTGCGAACCCACGCAGAGTAATTAGAGGTGCGGTGGCGAGCGTATTCCTAACGCTTAGCCCGTCGAGCCACACCGCCGCGCCAAGATTGAGTGACACCTTCAGATCTAAGATATCATAAGATTGCATAAAACTTAGAATGCAGAGAAAAAATTGAACTGATCCAATGATAGCCGATTATGTGCAAGAGGATTGCAGGACTGCCTGCCATCATAGCTTTATTTACCAGCAAGTCAGTGTACCTGAAATGAACAATTGATCAACAAATACCATCCTCAACCAGGACTGGTAACTGGACAAGAGGCGATTCATAATATGATTAACAGTCTCTTTGGTTTTCCTTTCACCCGGGATAAATATAAAAATGCTATCTTAAATAATGCTATGAATACCTTTTCGTTTTAAAGTTTTGAAATCCTCTTGTATTTCCGCAGGTGACGAACCCGTTGTGTTAGTGGATGAAACTCATCACAACTAGTCCCACAACTATGATGTCGGTGCATTGCCTCCAACAACCGCATGAATCATTCCAGTTCATTTTTCAAACTTGCCTCAACCATATTAAACTCCTGGAATTAGTCGCAGAAAGGAAGCATAACAAATCCTAAATTTCTCATTATCATGACAAGAAAAAATTTGATCTAATGACTGGGCTTCAAAAAATGAACTTTTTCCAACCACTAATCACTTTTGCTAATATACATATCATATAGTTCATCAATCTTCTGTGCTACTTTGGTACCGTATGCGATTCCAGTGATTTTACTTAGGTTTAGGAACTGAATTCTGTGATAATATCTTTATGAGATTGGGTTAAGCAAGTGAGATAGCATAACAAAGTGGGATCCAATATTCTTGTGCCAAATGCTAATAAATTTTTCTTTGAACTTTTGATATTTCATTTTTATATACTCTGAAAGATACCCAAGTTGTATAAACTTGAGATTGTTAACTTAGAAAATTGGCTGTAGAGTCGAGGGACAAAGGACAAATTCTTTAAATTTGAAAATGTCTCAAACTCCTCGGAAATTGTGACCACAAAAACCACAATAGCAGGTCCTAGATTTCAACTCTGGCTCTTGAATATTCATCACAAAATCTTTTCATATGCAAGCCTTTTTCACTCCAAACTGAGGTTGTATAGTCAACTTACATCTCTGCTTTTGAAAATCTGGCAGCAATATACATTTTGATTATCACGATTGAAATCTGCAATTGTGACTCCAACTTCGATCTCAATAAATTATCAAGCAATGTCGACCTTGTGAATTATTGGTTATTACAATTGCTTCGTTTTTGGCATATATAGGATAAGATTTACATATTTATCCTGGGGGGAAAGGAAAGCCGATAATACGGCTTAAGCATATGGCGAACCACGGCCTCTCGTCCGGTGATGACTTTCTATGTATCAACCATATCCATTTATTAATGTGATAGCTATATTTAACACATATTTTAAAGCCATGTTAAATATTTTATCCATATCTCATTTTATATATCTCAGCATATTACTATTTTCATATATTGCAGATGATTGCAATACTTCATGAATTGTTTTTTATTTGTCTTTTCTTCATGCAGTTTAGATTTAAACATGCAACAAATTTAAGAAGATACCATGTTTGAAATGAATATAAAATTTAACTTTGGTGTTCACTAGCAGATTAAATCTTTTACCGGTACCTATATTTGCATATTAGAGACCTATTCACATTGGCCTAAAATTTGTTCTTTTCTGTTCTTATAACGCAACCAACCTTGTTACAGTTATTTTCGAAACATCTTTCAATCTGTTGCATTTTATAATATTTTATGTGGACAAAATTTCAATCAGCTATATGGCATAGCAAAAATACATTGATTTGGTGTTATATACTATTTCCGCTGTGATTGTATTGAATGGCTAAATTTTTAAAATAATGACTGGAGCACAAATATAATAATTAATTATGAATAACTATATGAACAAGTGTGGCTCTTTCTATTCTAAAGTTGGAACACTGGCATCTTGCAGCAGGGGTGATAGCAACGTCAGTTATATATAAAAATCTTAAATATATAGGTATTGTAAGAAGTTTACAAGAAAGATGTTTGTTTCAACACAATTATTTACATTCTCAAATAATAACGGCCAGGTAGATGAAGCTTATATTATAATATGTTAATTGTTCAATATCAGTGTGGAATAAAATACATGATTCAATAGTCATCAACTAATAACCATTGTAATTCTGTTACATCATTCATTCATGAACTTTTTTCACCCACTATTGTTCGTCAATATGATATGATTTCAAACAGTCGATAAAAAAAATGTCCGTGGAACATTTGTATCAGTTTATTTCACTTTTCTTAAACCGTGTTATGTGAGTTTCTTTGGAGCATTCCGCGAAACAGGGATCAAAATTGCGACTAAATTGATCGCCATGATGATCTCGATATATTTTGGCGACTCTGGGTCTTAAATTTGTTTTCCAACTGGCAACAAACAGGCGGACAGGTCTTGCTATCTAAATGGGCAGACAGGCCTTGTGCCAGTCTGGAAAACATGGAGTTCTCGTTAACCGTACAATATCGATAATCTTCGGCCTGATTTTTACATAGGCTTAATTACACTGGCCAGCAAAAATTTTTTTTTTTCATGGTGCCTAAGATGTTTTAAACGTTTTTAGCACATTTGAGGGCGCTGATTTCAGAAATGCTGTTACTTTTTCTCTATCAGGTCTAGTTTTCCCTCTATGGTATATCCCTCTCTGCAGGATGCCGAGAGCTACAATAAAGATGGGCAAATGAAGAAACAACATTTTTCTGTAATTTTATTGAACATATCCATGGAATCTCACCAAAATATTCACAATTAAAGCTGGAACTTGTAATAAATGCTAACTAATAGATGTCATCGGCTATAAATTGACGTTTTACTGATTTTCTAGAATGAGGGGCCTCTGCATCATGGCGCTTGATAGACCAACAGAAGTCTGCAAGCATGGTGGAATCCCAACGACCTTGATAGCGAACTTCCATGTCGCTGATATCTTGATGGAAGCGCTCCCCTTGCTCATCGCTCACATCACCTAGATTTTCTGGAAAACGGGCGAGATGGCTGTGCAAAAAATGTAACTTGATGCTCATACTATTTGCACCCAGTTGACGGAGACTAGTAAGTAGTGTTTCAACAAGCTCTTTGTAGTTTCCTTCATATAATATATTGACAACATATAATACCTAGTACTGCAAGCAAATTCATGAAATCTACTCAACCGATTGAACAAGTTTTTCTATCCCCCGAGATAAATATGTAAATCCTAACCAGTACTCATACCGGTGGTTAAAGAGAGAAGACTACTTCATGAATGTAAGAATACTTTTATGAACAAGACAAAAAATAGTAAAGATTCACAATCATGTCTAGGAGTCAGTGCAATCATAAAATTATTATATCGGGCAAAAGCAATACACATTTATGAAAAATATAAGGAGAGTAGGTAACTGCGTAAACAAGTTTTAAAATTTGAATATGTTAAATTTTTATCCCTAGAAGGTAAATCATTCCAAATTTTTGCGCCAGTGTATCTCAGAGTGCCCTGCGCTCGCTTCGACATACATCTAAGAATAAAAAGAGATCCTTGGGATGATGATCGGGTGTGATGGCTGTGTACATAAGACTGTGCTGTGAAATAATTATCGAAAGCTCTTGGTAATAAATATTATAAGTATTGATGCATTATATTTGCAACTTCGAAGAGAGACAAGTCCTTGAATTTGAGTACTTTTAGTTTGACAAATAAAAAAGTACAACTAGTATGGGGTGAAGAATTAGATAATATTCTTACAGCTTTATTTTGTAAAACTTCTATTCTCTTTGACAATTTGCTAGTATCAGAGTATCCCCATGCAACCAAATCAATACTGAATATGAGACTGGAAGAGGGCAAATATATCATACAAAGAACTCGAGTGAGAAGAAGTTTACAAACTTCCAATAGCCTGTGATAATTTTCTTAACAAATCTGAAATATGTTTATTCCAGTTTAGGTTTTCATCAAAATATATGCCTAGGTATTTGTAATATTCTACTCTTCAAATAAGTTGATTGTCAATTGTGACCTGAAAAACGGAAGATTTGGATGGAATGTTTGGAGCAATTATGAGAAATATTGATTTAGCAATGTGAATCAACATTTTATTACAGGCCATCCAATTTTGAACTTTGATGAGTTCATTGTTTATATTTGCCTGGAATAATGACATAGAAGGGGAGCTAGTGGACAATCCAGTGTCATCCGCACACAGTTTTGTGAGAAGAATTGGGGAGGTCATTTACAAGACAAAAAAATGAAACTCCAAGAATTGAGCCTTGACAAAATCTCCTAAATGGAGGGTATCAGTGCTTTTTGCCACAAAAAAAATCAAAAAATAGATGTAAAAATAATAATCATTCTAATCTTGAAAAACTAAAATGACACTTGAGTCACTGTTTCAAATTATGGGTACTTTTGATGAATAGGAGTGTTTATACTGCTCCCATTGCTGAGATACAGTTGATCTATGATTGGTTGCATTTATTACGCATTTGAACAGCAGTTACTGCAGTAAACATATTTTCATGCTATGCATTATGTAATACCCACAATATTGAGCAGTTGAGCCATCTATAACCATATTGAACCTATGTGGCGGAAAAACAATGCCTGTAATTCTTAGTTTTTATTAGTTATTAGACTTCCAAGTATTATTGATTGTCAAAGTTGTTGCAGGTTTAATCTTCCGGTTGACATATATGGAGGACAGTATATCAGAATAAAATAGAAGTCAACAAAAAGTTCTTCCATCTGCTATGTATTGTCATGACCTTTTAATAATGGTTTCTTTTCTTTTTGATTATCCTGTCCTTGCAAAATGTCTGAATACAAGTTTTAGTACAAATTGTTGTTACTATGATATGTGAATCATTCAAATCTATAAACAGAGCTTTTGTGAATTTCAAGCTTTACTTTAACTCAAGTTTTTTTGTTTAACGAATACACGACTGCAATATACTATAAACAAGATTCATTACCAGACAAGGTAATAGGCATGGAATAAACTAAAAGGGCATAAATTATTATGTATGTGTGACGCATCACAGATAATTTTATTGAAATATGACGAATCTGAAACATGTAAAGGTAATCCCTAGCGATAAGGTTTTTTATTTGTTTGTCTTCACAAGGTATTTTGCGCCAACAGCCTTATTTATGAACACTGTCCACTCAAACAGATTGCAATACTGTGGATTTTTATACGATTTAGATAATAAATAATTTTCTTGTCAACTGTAAGATAAATCATATTGAATGATTGGGTAGTAATGCAAACCTCTTCAACTACAATTGGACCAAGACACAGCACAAAACGCTTGGTTGAAAATCGATTACTGGCATCCCAGGGATAACATAACAACTTGTGTCTGTTTACCATTCCAGATTGGATATAGTAAAATCATGTTACATGTGCGATGCGCAAAATGCAATAAGAAATAACTTTAAAATTTGATATGTTCTAAAAGAAATATTTTCGAATCCGTTACTAAAAACGATTAAAAAAATTCGCACTCAGCAAGCAAAGCATTAACTATAGTATTTTATAATTTCTATTTTATTACCTTTAGATTTTTTCTTCTTTTTTCTTTTCTTATCAGTTGATCTGTAAAATAAATTAAATCTTTTAAAACATATTTTCTGGACATAAATGAAATTGTTGCATCCATGCTCTTCCATAACCTAACACAATACACAATCCAGAGCATCTCCACAATATTCGGGAGTGGGAAATCTCAAACTGAGAAAATATCAAAATATCTCAGGTGCAATTTGCATTAACCTTAAAAATAAACGACAGCATATACAGGCTTTACATTCACACTCCTAGATTATTCTGTTCAACTTTTCACACCATTTTTATTCCAAGTGAAAAATATGAAATATCGTACTGAATTGCATAAATGGAGGATAACCTGATTCATACTCAGCATGAGAGACTTCGAATCATGCGGGCGGTGATACAATACGAGAAATTGCAGACCTACCAATCAGAGTGGTGCCATGACAGCACTGGTTAGTATAAAAGGCATTCTGTTTTTTTATTATTAAAAAAAAATCGAAATGAGAATAAAAGACTCCACATCCTACTTTCTGTCTTGACCCTTCAGTAATGGTTCCTTCTCTTTTCCGTCATCTTGATTTTCCTGAACATCTAAATATAAATAACGTTTTTTATTATAAATTACTGTTGGCATGATTTGTGAAGCAGCCTAGAGTTATCTATTTCAAGAATCATTTTGCTTAAACTTCAATTTCCTTGTTTCACCAACATGAAAATATAATGTACATGGTTGATCAATAGCACAAGAAATGAAAGAAGCATTACTTAACCAACGACGCGTCACTGATTATTTTGGAGCAGCCTCCCTCATTCATGAACAATGTCTGTTCATCTGGTATGTGTACCAAGATGGCGCACAACCTGAACATTGTATGTGTACCAGGTTAGGATTCAGGTAGTGCGTGATCTTGGTATACATACTTCCGGAGCGTCCAAAATTTAAATTTAAAATTGACAAAACATGATTTATAATATGATTAAAGTATTAAAACAAATTCCCCAGCCATATCAAATACACTTGTATTTTTATTACCTTTTTTCTTTTTTGTTTTCTTACCAGAGGATCTAGAAAATGAAAGGAACTGTCTTAGAGGTATCTATTGTTCATTTATTTACACAAATTTAAAAGATAAATTTTCTAGACACAAATAAAGTATTGGTATGAACAGGTTGTAATGATAAATAACCATAACCTAACAAAGGATGTTGTCCGCATCATAAATGAGAGTATTGATAAGATATTTTTTTTATCTGTTAATTTTTTTGTTTCTATAAGTTAATTTATTTGAATTATGGGAATATACAGGTATATATTCAGTACATACATGTTTAGATTATTTTACAGAAAGAAAATGTTTGAATCTTTCACATCATTTTCATTTCAAACAAGATCAGAAATCTGATTCAATATTTCAACTATATTTACTGAATTATAGGAAATCACTCAGTTTATCAGAGACCTAAACTTGATATATTAAAACTAAAGGATGACAGACTAATAATGTAAGCCAGTTCACGATATAAGGAAGGAACATGAACTTGCATGGTCTCATGAGAAATGATTTAGTGGTATCATGAGGGATGATCTAGTCTAGAACAAGAAATTGATGTAGTCTTTAAGGTCGTAAGGTTTGTTTGAATACCCACTCACTCACTTCAGCTTACTCCATTATAAACTAATCAAAATGGGCTAAAGCGAGAGTAAAAATATTATTTCTATATAATGCATGACCCATTTTTATGCTTGATGACTCAACAAAATAGCTATGTTATTCAAAAGTTCATAAGGGAGGGGTGAAAAGTTAAAAAAAGGAAAGGATGTATTAAAAATAAGTTGGGGACCACTGGATCGGAACATCAAACTAACTTTCCTATATCTGAGATAAAAAAAATTTTAATCCAAGATACATATTCTATTTTACCAAATCTATTTTGATAATGGAACTAAAAAACGATTATTTACTTATCATGATCACCAGATGTCCCTGTTGGATCTTCTTCATTATGATCAACATCTTCATACACTTTATCGTCATCAGTTGATTTCACTGTGTATTCTCCATTCTCATCTGGTTCAATACCGAATCCTTCATCTTCAATTTGATTTGACTCTAAAAATTCTCAAAATTAAATAATGTGTATATTTGTAGCCTTGTAGGTACTCCCGAAGTATGCGTACAAAAATGGCGGATACCAGAACGTAGTATGTGTACCTGGTTAGGGTTAGGCCATAATTTTATTCCAATATTCCCTATTTTAGTTTTATTAAGAGTTCGGGGACTAGTTAAGTGACCTTCATAGTATTTGTACCGGAAATTAAGGCCTAGTCCTAACCTGGTACAGATACTACATTCCAGTGTCGGCCATATTGGTACGCATAACTCAGGAGTCATTTCACTCTTAATTTTGTGTCACTATTTCAATGGCCAGAAGAATAAACTTGAACATTAATATATAAAATGCATTAAACCTTTTGTGAACTCCACTCTCATATCAGAATGTGCACTTGTCGTCGGAATATCATCGCTGTGTACTTTGGGTCTGGTTTCCTGAGAATTTGTGGCATCTTGGTCATGTGACTTTGGCACAGTTTCTGAAACAGTACTTCCACTTTCTTTGTGTACAATCATTTTCAGATGGATTAGCTAGAATACGATAAAATATTGTATGTAACAAGAAATCAAATTTCAGATTCGGACAGGGGTTGACGAGAATCTTACATCATTTATTGGGCAAATTAGCCCATTAAAAAATCCACATAATGACTCATTTTATAAAAAAAGATTTATGAGATTTCAGGAAATCCATGTGTCTATGGAGTGCAGAGAAAGGTTGAAAAACGAATGAAAACTAATAGAGATTCAAAAAAACATTCCCGCCTTTAACTACCTGAAACTTTGAGAGCAACTTGCCAACAATTTGAGAAAATAAATAATCAAGCAGGAAGGATCTTTTGTTATCTTATTTGATAAATATGATAACAGTCTAATACAGGGGTCTCAAACTCAATTTATCTGAGGGCCGTCAAGACGGAGCCTTAGTGAGTCCGGGCCGCATCAGTTTTTTCACAATAAAAGCATTAAACTTAAAAAGTTGAATCTTTTCCTCTGTTTTTCTATACGCAAAACATGTCGAAAACATGAATGTAAGTAATTCCGCAATGGACCTTTCCCCGAGCATCTACTTCCTTGTTTATTCCGTAACATTGACTAATCAGCAAGACGCAAATGTGACGTAACAATAGACTTTTTCGCAAATGCTCAGACACTTGTCAACTAGGAAGATTTTCAGGCATGTTTGTAAACATTACCTCGTTTTTGCATGCTATTTGTTAGTTTTGGGTTGTGTTTCAGAAATTCATGTATGAATCAAAGAACTCAATGATCATTCTGATTGCGGGCGTCGTAGCTTAATTGCCGTAATCAAAAATATTAAGTCTAGAAATAGCTGTGATAGACTAGGCTAGGCTCTACCGGTACTGTTGAAAAACAGGTTGTTGAATGTTTTGAATCAAAATGATGACGTGAAACATATACCCCAGTTTATAGGCTTCAACTCGCGAAGCCACCTCTAAAATAAGCACCAATAATTAGCAATGGTAAAGTATAAGAAAATTTTCTTTGGGGTCAAAGGTCCATCGAATACCCTGCCTACAGGTGCGGTACTAGTAGGTTACCGTGCCGCATATTCCTATCGGGGGATAGATTATAAAATATTTTCTTTTGCTCTACGTGTCCTGATCATAATTAAATGTATTATTCATTTTAACTGAGCTGAGTGATTTAGGGGCCGCACTAACATTAAACTTTCATACCAAGGCGGGGGCCGCAAATTATCGTCCAGCGGGCCGCAATTGGCCCGCGGGCCGCGAGTTTGAGACCCCTGGTCTAATACTTACCTTTGTTATCAGCATCCCCACCTTCATGCGTAAAGAATCGTTCAGTTTGCATAACGGCCTCTGAACTATTATTTCCATCATTTGTTTGGTTAGATGAAGCTAAACAAATTTAATATGAAATAAAGTCCCAGCTGAAAAAAGTTTGATTCTCACTCTTGCTCTCAACCCCAAATTGAGATTGGAATCAGACTGCCAGAAAACCGAATTATGATAACATATGCTCTTTCTTGTATTTGTAGTTCTTTTAGAATAGTCTTGGCTCGAGCAAAAAAAAATAAAACATGGTGTGTAAAATAGCTAAGGAAAATATGCTAAAAGCAAACTCATTTTTGTTGAAGGATACGAAGCCATGAATTCTGAAATTTTGAATAATTTTTGGGACCCTCCGGAAGTTTATTTAGGCCATTGTACTTGCATATATTCGAACAAAATATCGAATCTTGGCCCTGTTACAATGATGGTATGTCTCAGTTCTGGTTCCAAGTATTTTAAATTTGACCGATATATTATTTTAACATAAGTTGGTGTTAAAAAAATTTTTCACAAAGATAAGTAAAGGTTATAGAAAGAAGAGTAAGTATGACTAGTTCTGACAATAATGGGTACTGTGACCCCCATTGAAGCCTTTTGCAACCCATCAAAGGTAATACTTAAACTGGAGGACAACTACTAAAAACTTTGAAACCAAATATTCCAGTAAATAAAATCACAAGTTTCTGTCTCTACAATTTTAACAACAGCAATTAGGCACAAATGTGTCCAATAAGTAAAGTCTCGAGCTCGAGCTCTCAAACTTAATCATTATTATAGAATGACATTAATCGAAAAAATGAAATAAAAATCAAATAAATGTATCAGTTCTATTTTAGATGTTTTTTCAAAGTAGAAGCAGTTGTCCGATCATTTCAGAATTGTCATCTTTGATATAGAGAAAAGTAAACATAAGGGCTTGTTCATAGCACAAACACAGACTTCTGGTCTGTGTACCATTCTAAGTTATATATGTGAATAACCTTATAGACAATCGATTCATGTACACGGATGGGGGTGTCACTGTTAAAATTAATTTTCGGACCTCCTGAAGTATGTGCACCAAGATGGCGCACAACCTGAACTCAGGTTGTGTAACAGGTTAGGGTTCAGGTTATGCGACATCTTGGTGCGCATACTTCAGGAGTACCCAATTTTCATATTTTTGAAAATGAAATGAAAACTTTCCAATCATGTATCAGCGAAAAGATAAAAATGTAACAAAGTATTAATTACATACATGTAATTTTAATTTTTTGTTACCTTCAGTTTTTTTCTTTTCAGTTTTCTTGTCAGATGTTCTAGAAAACAAATTGAACATTCATAGAGTTATCTATTGATCTTATATCTATACAAACCTAAAAGATAAATTTTCTAGGCATAGATAAAGTACTGATATCAACAGGTTGTAACCAAACTTGTCCATAACCTAAAACAGAATGTATCGGTAATCATAAATGAGAAGAATATTCCAAATTGATAAAATACTATCTGAATTTGAAGTTAGTTTGTTCGAATTATGAAAATATCTAGGAATGTATCTAGTACATACGGTACATATTCAGATCACTTTACTGAAAAATAAGTTTTTAATGTATCACACCATATTCATTTCAGAATAGGATTTACATATTTATCCTGGGGAGAGGAAAGCCGATAAGACGGCTTAATCCTATGGCTAACCATGGCTTTTTGTCCGGTTATCAGTCCAGGTCATTATGGGATTAGTTCACCAGTTATTTGTTTTCGGAAGCATGGAATTGATGGTGGAGGAAGCCGTTACCAACCAGCGGTTACGTGAACCACCCTACGGCGGCGAGGAGTCCAGCAATCCTCCCGCACATGATCATTCCTGCATGGGATTCGAACCTGCGATTCCACGAAGGGTGATCAGAGATGCGGTGTCAAGCGTATTCCTAACGCTTAGCACGATGTGCCAAATGCTTGCAGACTAATGTGAGCTCATTGGTCAGATCATGATGGTAGGAACCTCAACCTGCATGGAATGATTTCATGGTCTGATGATGCATAATCTAGTGGTCTCATGAAGGATGATCTAGTACAAGAACTCGAGATTTAATTAATGGGTTTAAGGTTTAATTAATGTTACAAGGTTTATTTGAATACTCATTCACTTCATCTCACTCCATCCTACTGGGGATACTTATTTATGCAAACATTTTTAATTAGTCAAACTGTGCAAAAGCAAGCAACGTTTCTTTATAATGAATGACGCATTTTTATGCTTACAGACTCAACAAAGTAGCTGTTTGCATTATTCAAAAGCTCTTAAAGTGAAGTATTTGAAAATAGAGAGAAATGCATTAAAAACTGAGGATGAGGACCCCTTGATCAGAGTATCAAACCAACTTTTCTTTTTCCAAGATAAATATAAATATTCTATTCCACCAAAGATGTTTTGATTATGGAGCAAATAAACGGTTATTTACTTATCATGATCACCGGATGTCCCTGTTGGATCTTCTTCGTTATGATCAACATCTTCATACACTTCATCGTCGTCATTCGATTTCACTGTGTAATCTCCATTCTCATCTGGTTCAATACCCAGTCCTTCTTCTTCAGTTTGATTTGACTCTTTTTTAATTTTTAAAATTGAATAATATCTATATTTGAAGATACTCCCAAAGTATGGGTACCATGATGGCGGACACCAGAACATAGTATGTGTACCAGGTTAGGGTTAGGCCATAATTTTATTCCAATTTTCTTTATTTTAGTACTATTACGAGTTCGGAGACTTGCCAAGGTATTCCTGTAGTATTTGTACCTAAAATTAAGGCCTAATCCTAACCTGGTACAGATACTACATTCCAGTGTCGGCCATCTTGGTTTGCATACTTCAGGAGTCCCTATTTGTATACATTTCACTCTAAATTTTGTGTCACTATGAACTTGAACATTGATATAAAATGCATCAAACCTTTCGTGAACTCCACTCTCATATCAGAATGTGCACTTGATGTTGGAATATCATTGCTGTGTACTTTGGGTCTGGTTTCCTGAGAATTTGTGGCATCTTGGTCATGTGACTTTGGCACAGTTTCTGCAACAGTAGTTCCACTCTCTTGTGTACAATCATTTTCAGATGGATTAGCTAAAATACGATGAAAATTAGTATGTAACACAAAAAAGCAAGTCTGAGATTTGGACATGAGTGAACCAAAATCTTACACCATATATTGGAAAAATTAAATTTTTTTTAAATATAATTTACAAGATTTCAGGAAATCAATGCGTCTATGGTGTGCAGAGAAAAGTTGAAAACCAATAAAGATTCAAAAGTACAATATAAATACAATACCAGTACTTTTACCTTTGTCATCAGCATCACCATCTTCATGAGTAAAGAATCGTTCAGTTTGCAGAAGGGCCTCTGCACTGTTATTTCCATCATTTGTCTGGTTAGTGAAAGCTAAAAATTCAAAATAAAATATGTTTTTCTAAATACCAATATTGTTCCCTGTTTTACTCAAGGCTGTGGATTTGGCAAAACTTTACAATTGTCTCTAATTACATACATACTCTACGGCTCAACGTCATTTGAAAAATGAATTCTACAACAGTTATAACGTAAGAAGAACATGATAAATCACATACTGGAAGTAACAGAGATGATAAAATAAAAATAAAAATTACTTGCCACACCATATTAATAATTTTATAATGGTTGTCACTGCCGAATTGATCAATTTTCCTACATGGGAGTGAACAGTGAACTTTTATCAAAAAATATATTGCCAAGCTGATTATAGTTGGAGTCCAACCAAAGTTGCCAGAATTGGGCGCATGATAAGGTGGGTTAAACCAGGGCTTCCCAAACTTTTGAGCTCGCGACCCCTTTAATATAATAAAATTTTCTTTCTGTTCACGGTAATAATGCTAAACAGTTCGAAATAGGTATTTTTGATAGTTTAATGACGCAGCTAATTCTCAACTTTTAGTAGGCCTACTCAATAACAAAAACAAGCACATATTTAATATTTACTTAGATTAACGTTACTCAATTATTCAGTGTAATGGATGCGAATGCTTTCTGCATAGCAAGTCCAGCCGTGGTTTGTTTATGCAGGCCTGAATGATGAATTACGATGTCTGGCCACCGACAGCATGGTTCTTATCTGGAAATGTTACTCTTTTTTTTTTACTCTTATTGATCAAATTGAGCATGAGGCAGCGACCCAAATTATCAGGGGGAAAAACTCACGGCGCACCTACACGAAAAATATGCTGACTCAAAGTCAAAATAAAGCACAATTTTGAAATAATAATAATAATGTAATGAAACAATAAAACATTCAGAATAAATAAAATATGTGAATATTTGATCATATATTTGTTATTATTTAACACAAATATCCTAATTTTCGAGGCGCAAACAAAGCCTGCTTTGTTTTGCAATTACGCGCAAACCAGGTCTCACGATCAGAATTTTCATTGTTATGCAAGCATAGGTTTTTTAGGTTTTGGTTGTTCATTTATATAAATTAAACTCATTGCAAAAAAAAATTTCTATTGAAAGGTATTAATCTATACGTATATTTTTGGAGGGCGTCACAATACAATGAAGTTCGAGAACCACTGAGTCCTAGTGATAGTAAGAAATTTTTTCTACTTTATAAATGGTTAATAATTTTTATATAGCAGTTTTTTTAAATGAAAACGTGTTATTTATAAGTAAATGGAAATCGGTATTCATATTTGGTATATCAAAAAATCTCGTTATCCTCTACATCCCTCACAAATGAGCCCTAGTGTTATTTTCGAAAGAAGATTGAAGACACTGTCTTATTTTCGGAGAAACACGGTATGATGATGTATGTATTCACTCGTAATCGTGAAATTTTTGTTTTACACTATTTTTAATAATTGTATTTTAAATCAAGAGTGAAATATATATATATAGTACCTTGTGTGAAATTGGTGTTCTCTTCGCGGCCCTTAAAATTCGTTTCGTGGCCCCTAGTTTGGGAAGGCCTCGGCTAGACCACTCCATTCCCCAGATTAGAACCAATTAATGCCAAATTATGGTCCAGATTGTAATTAGTACCAGTTACAGTATATGTAAGTATAATTAATAAAGGTAGGAGGATTTGTATTCAAAGTATTTTACAGAGTGGTTTTAGATTGAGCAAAGAAGAAAGAAATGAAAGTCTTATTGTGAATGCCAGTTTTTTTATTCATGTTATTGACAAATCTCTAGTTCAAAACTGTATAAGAATGTAAGAAGGTTCGATGAAGTTTTTCTAAAAATTTGGTAAAAAACTAGGGATTTTAATAATTTGAGAAATTTTTTGTCCAACATGATTTGAATATTTTCGTTTAGACAAAGTTTTGAAACCATGTTTGAAAGTTTTTTTTTATTTAGTTTACCTTGTCCAGATTCATCATCTTCATTCAAGAATGTATTAACAAGCTGCCGTAGCTTCGAAGTTGTTGCTTCATCCCCTGGTTAACAAAGAGATGAATATTAAGTACATATATTTATATATATATAAGTTTAAGTAAAATACTTTTATATGAGGTCAATCACGCCTCATACGGGCATCCACTGATCTCTAATGATGAGTGAAGATCTACTATTCCTGAACTGGTAATTGCCACCCAACTTCAACACCCTGGATGAGGTGGTGGACATGGGATTTGAACCTTCAATGCTGAAACAGTTCAGTCTAACACTTCAAGAACTCTGCCACCACGCTTTCTCTTTTATATTCGCGAGTTTTTTTATAATAAATACTCAACTTATTCACTTTAAACAATTCTTTAAATAGGCATCCATTGATACTATGATGCCACTATTGTGTCTACTAGATTTATAGATGGAGTGAAATTTTTTATTGTTTCACACATACCCTATCTAGTAGTTTATAACACACCCTGGGATGAGGGGCCTCAGGTTATAACCCAATATTCCTAATTTATGGTACACAAATTGTTGGTTTCCCCATCTATGTAGGGTGGATCAAGTAACCACTGGTCAGTTACGGCTTCCTCCACCACCAAGTCCACACATCTGAAACAAATACCTGGCTAATTAATCTCATACCTGACATGGACTGGTAACCAGATAAGGTTTGCCACATGATTGAGCCGGTTAATCAGTTTTTCTCTCCCTTTGGATAAATAGGATGATACTACCTCTATATCTAGGTTTAATGAGTCAGCTGCTAAGTCATCGAATTCACATTTTTTCAATAATTTGGTCCAACAATATAACTATAATTTATTTTACGGTGGTTTTTTGCGTTTGTATAAAAATAAGAAAATCACCATTTTTTTCTTTCCATAACTCAAGAATCTGACATTCCTTCTCTTTTCTTGATTGTCTTGATTCCGAATCAAAAATGTTTTCAACTTCATCGGAACTAAGTGACAAACCTCGACTAGATCGTGCAAATCGTTTAAAATTTGAAATATTCGAAAAACGTTTAGGAATTTCTCGAAAAGCATCTTCTATGCTTGAATCTGATAAAAAAATGATAATCGCAATATGTAATCAATGTTAACTTAATTTTTTCATAATATCAAATGGCATAAGATACAAAATTTTTAATAAAAATAAGCAATTCAAATTCAATTACAAACAATATTTATAATAAGACCAAATATTTTTCATCTTCCAGTTTAGTAATTCCATGACTTTTGTGAGTTCTCAAGGTTTCTAAATTGCTGTTTTATGCTTAAATTTAAAGTCGCATATCACACATCATCAGCACATTTCAGGTTAATTCAAACTCACCTTTATCATCTTTAATCTTCACACCCTCCTGATGTCTTTCAGTGTGTTCTGGAAATACTGAGCATTAGTATATTTATTAACGTAATGTTAAAAAATAGGTCCATTGAGGGTAGTAGGGGAGTCAGCACTTACACCAGGGGTCGGCAACCTACGGCCCGCGGAGCACTATAATCCGGCCAGCGGCACTTCACTAAATTATAGTAACAAAACATCCGTTTTGACGAATATATTACTTAGACTAAATTATATTATAACCTAACAATTATATAATTCACAAATACTCATTAAATGAGCATATAATTTAATTACAATTAAGCAAATGGCAACAAAACGCAGAAAAGTTGATGCTAAATGCAAAGGGTTCAATGACGCTGAAATTATTCAAATGGGATTTTATGAGATGCAATGAGGAAATAAATCTATATTCTATTCGAGATGTATCACTGCTTGATTACCATCCGTTCGGTTTTTCAACTTTCTAAAAATATGTGCGGCCCGCCAATGACTTGCAACCTTAATTTTGGCCCACGAGCGACAAAAGGTTGCCGACCCCTGACTTACACCATAAGCTCCATTAGAAACAAGTCGAAAAATGGAGTCGAAATAAACTTATACTTTTACTGTTACAAAATCAGTTCTTTTCTTATCAAGTATGGGCTACTCATCTCAAATTCAAAAATATTCTATAATGAATGTGTAATTGGTTGGTATTGTGATTATAAAAGCAATCAAACAAAAATAATCGAAAGAAAATAGGATTTTCATATTTATCTCGGATGGAGAGCAATGGCTTGATCATATTGGCCATAAATCAGTAATTAACACTGCGATTTTATTATTGGGCATGAAATTGACCTCTGGGTCGTTTTGTTAAATTGTTGTTGCTGTTCTTCTTAGTATTCTCCTTTATGTTGCATTTTTGTTTTGAAAAAATCGCTTTTCTCTTTAACTATTGGACCAATTGATTTTTGGTTAAAGATTGTCGCTGCCGCTAGAACTAGGTTTTGAGCATGTGATGAGAAAATTCACCACAAAAAAATACGAGTGAATTTATTGAAAATAGACATTGGTTACTACCTTACTGTTAGTTTCGTTTTTTTTTTAATAAATAAAATTGTGTGTGGTTTATTATGTAATCGTAATGTACAAGATGTGTTATGTAGAATTTGTGCAATATTCTACAGTTGAAAAATAACAAGAAAACCTAAAAATGTTTATACATACTGTTTTGCACTGTAATTGGTTGTGATTAATTTTGATGGATAATGCACTTTGCACTTTACATTATTGTATTCAATTTTGAATGACACATAAGGGGCACCGAAGTCTTGAGTGCTTAGGGCACTAAAAGAACATGATCTGCCCCTGGTTATCAGATTAGTTGACCAGTTATTTGTTTCAGATAAAGTAAATCGTGACTGCCCAGCATTTACCACTCTACACTGGCAAAGAGTCCAGCAATCCCCTCACACAAAATAATTGCCCACATGATTCAAACCCGCAAACTTGCTCAGGGTAACAGCAATTGTGATGACGAACATATTCCAAATGCATATTGCGCCAATCGTAGGGCCAACATGTAGTTTTATATTTAACATACAAGCAATGGAAAATTAATTCAACTAAGTTGAAAAAAAATAAACTTCTGACATTCGCCGTATGAAATTATTCCAAACCTTTTTCTAAGTTAATATTCAAGTTTTTCTCAATTTTATCGGCAATATCATTCCTGTTTCCATTTCGTAATAAAATGATCAAAGAATCAAGAGTGGCAGAAGATCCTTTAAATTGTTTCCATTTTGAAAGTCCATCAGTAATCTTGAATGGCATAGATCTCCCTGTGATAAATAATAACTCTAATCTGACTCCGGCCTCCTAGAAAATCAAATATTGATAACAAAAACTTTGTCCTACTTTACTACGTTATCTTTTTCACATTTTTATTTGGAATTATATTTGGCTTCGTGAATTGTGTCCAGCAGTCAACCTAATATCTTCAACGGTTTAAAAAAATTGATGGGCTATGCTGAACCATTCAGATAATGTAGTCACCCCCAGCTAAATTTATGACCGGTCATATCGACAATTAGAACTAGCTCCATTCGTCATATTAACTAACCTTCATTATCATTTTCCATCTTCATACAAATATCCGAGTCTAATTTGAGAGTTTGTTGATAAAAATCGAAGGATCGATTGATGACCGAACTTGCAATAATCCGGAATGCTGAATAAAGCAATGGTATGAGGTTAGTGAAATTAATACAAAATACAATACCTCGATTTTAAAATATTCAATATAATTCTACTCGTTTCGATCAATTAGTAAAAGATTGAGTTATCATCCAATCAATTGCTTAGCTATTCCCTATCTCACCTAAACTCTTGATTGGATCCTTGATTCGTCCATACAATAAACTATATTATCCTTTTCCTATGAAAATAGTATTGAACATTTTACCCAATTCGATAAAGCAGAACCAAATAAATAAAAAACATATCGGATATAATTTAAATACAATTAATATTACCTTCATCCAGATTGCTGTCCTCTATTATACTTCTATCTTTAGGTAACACGATTTTTTCCAGCTTCATTGAGGATCTCTTCGACCTTTCATTCTCGTTTTTCAAAGAGTCTCGCTCCAATTCTGATTCTTCTATTTTCTGAAATAATATTATTCTATAATCAATCTTGAAAATTTATTTGTAACATTTGGCTGTCTCACAACTGATAGAATAAAAGAATAATGAAAGAAAGAAATATCCATGCATACAAAATGAAAATGGCACATTTCTCAATATGTATTGTTTCATAAGTTACAAATAAAATCTAATAAAACATTAAAAAATTAAAAACTTTGGTCTCTAAAAATAAACTTACTTTATCTTGTTTTGATTTTTGATTTTTCTGTTGAGGAATGGGACTAGTTGAGGCATGCGAAGAACTTAAAATGAGATAAATAAAAAGCATAAAAATCAGATTTCTAAAAAAGGAAAAAAATCGAAAATTGATAAAAGCATCAAAAATTATATTTAAAAACTGAGCAATGTGCGAAAAACTATAATTTGAATTTCATTTGTATTTAGAAGTTTGATTCTTTATTCATCTAAATGGGTGTGGTTATGAGTAACTGGTACTTTATGAATTCTGAATGTTGACAGTGTGAGCACTATTATAATCAATTAACAAGAATACAATATACATTATCTCCATTTTGAGGGAGACGGAATCTGATAAGACAGCTTAAACCTGTTATGAGTAGAGTATATGGTGATAAATCAGAATATTAAATTAAGCGGTTCAAATCAGAGAAACATGAAACAAGAAAAATATAACAAAACAGAATGACTTTGATTGATATCAAATTAACAAAAAAAAAAATACTGAGAATAAAAAAATGATTCAAGAAGCAATATAGAAATTTTTATGTTTATATATTCAAAACACATTTTTTTATGGTCAGTGTGAAACTGTGAAGTAAAAATAAAATCATGCTGATGTGGGCACAACACGATAAATCTGACAATGTGTCAACAACATGCAGTGATGTTCAGAGTATTTTTCAAACAATCTATTTAGGATTTACATATTTATCCCAGAGGAGAGGAAAGGGATAAGATGGCTTTATCATATCATAAGGCGAACCACGACAGCTTGTCCTGTTACAAGCCCATGTTGAGTATCGGATTTATAAGACAGTTATCTGTTTAGGATGAATAAACTTGATGATGGAGGAACCAGTGGTTACTAAACCATCTTACAGCAGCGTAAAGACAAGCAATCCTTTCGCAAATATCCCTGCATGATTCAAACAAAGCAAAGCTAAGTAGGGTAATCGGGGGTGCAGTGTCGAGCGTATTCAAATCGCTTATCTATTTGCGGGACATTGCCGACCTACTTTCTTAATATAATTGTTTATGAGGATCATATGACTAAGCCATCTAATTTTTTTCTCTCTTTTGGGATTTGAATAAAAAAAGTTACCCACTATTTTTACAGGGACCAGACTGTGATTTCGTTTTAAATTTATACTCATATTTAAAACTTGACCAAAACTTACAGTGGTTCAGTATTAGATTGAGAAGAAGTCAAATTGTCAGAGCTGCGAGAGATATTACTTCCATCTGAAATTAGTATCATATTAATTTGAATAAAGTATTTTTGTTTCTCTTTCAAATAAAAGAAGTTTGAGATAGATGAAATATCGAGCACACTCGATTCAATCAAATCGATAATTAGACCGGTCCATAGAAAAAACCCAAAAGTTCTAACTTAAGGGTCAGATTAATATCACTAGTCTGAAAAGATTACTATGAATTAAAATTAGAGTGAAATATAAATGGTATCTCAAAAGTAGGTTTACAGTATTTTTATTATTTTAATAACTGTTAACCTAACTTCCTGCTATATCAATGACACATCTTGATTAATAAAACACTCACCTCTATTAGTTCGCACTACATTGTTTTCATCAATAGTTTGACAAGAAAAGTCTTGCATAGAAGTTCTTGTTGATTGGCCTTAAAAACATCAACATAAAAAATAAAACATTAAAATAAAATAATTATCGTCTTGGACCATACTCAAGGATCCACTTATATAATATTACTAGAGTATTTTTTACAATTGAATGTTTCATTCCCATTTTTAAAAATGTTTCTATTACCATAATAAAATATAACATATTAAAATAATAAAATATCCTTTAGTTAATAAAGGTTCAATATCTAATTGAACTTTAGTCAGAAATATTAAAGGTCTTGTCCCCCTAAATGCCATGTAAAACTGTAGTCAGTGTACCGTTGTGTCCAATTTGTTTGACCCTTGTCTCATTATGTGTACATCTGATTTCATATGAATACTCTAACCTTCTGCCAAATAATATATCTTTACTAACATAAAACACTTATATGCATACTTCAACCATTTGTCCCACACCATTTATCTACCCAACTCAGAACAGTGGAACGAGTGGGGGATAAGTGAAAAACAATCATTTTGGGATGCTGCTGAAATATAGTTGTCTTCAAGTCACAAAATTTGTTTTGATTTACCTGGTACCTACTCTATCTTGTTTAGTATTGACAACTCCTACAGTAATATGTGCTGTATTTGCGTTATTATTTTGATTATCTGTATTAGGTTGAAAGCTAATATATGCGATATATATCTTGGCAGTCTTTTAGTCGATACTCTTAGATAAATACTCAGACATTGCAAGAGAAGCTTCATAGTCAGTGTTACCTTTTTTATGTGGGTCGGGTGCTCGATATTTACAATTACAACTACAAAAACAAAATACAGAAATAGGGTGGACGTAAGAAACACGTTACGTGTATCACTGTCGACCATATCTTCAAATTGGGAACAGTTAATGGGCAAACAAATACAGATCTCGCATTAAATAGCATCACTGGTACCCCTGTTTTTGAAGATAATTTCAACATAAATTTTCTAACACGTATAATTTATTACATAAGATTAGTTCGTTTGTATAAAGGTGGTCCGCCAAAATTTAGGCCAGGCTTTACCGGTCCGTAACTTAAAAAAGGTTGTTGACCACTGCCTTAGCCTGTCCTTGATATCCTGAAGAGGGGAAAACTGACCAATTGCTAAATTTTAACCAGTCAGTAAATGTCAAGATTCAAGATTCAAAATTATTATTATTTTCTCAAACCTTTGACATAAGTTAGTTTAGTTGCACTGTAGTGATATGCATCTGGTGCATTTTTAAATCTAGCCTTATCTTATCATGAAAAAATGAACAAAAACCTTTCATACTCAATATCATAATAAACATGAATCAATAAGATAAAGCCAGTTGAGTATTGTGACACAGTTCACAAAAAAATGTAAACATTTATTCATGCTGGGTACAAAGTCTATAATAAAGCACATATTTGAGCACCAAAAAAATCTGAATGCAAAAAAAATTATATTAACCTTGTTCAACATCCTTTTTATGTTTGTTTTTCAATTTCTTATCTGTGGGAAAAATGAACAAAATCAATTCAAGCTCAAAATGTGAGGTTCATATTAATCATAGCACTACAGAATTATAAACAAACTAGATACAAAAAATCTTACCGAAATCATTGAAAATGTACATGGTATTTATAAAGTCCTGTTGCAGTTTCAATTTTATTATGAAAACAGTTTTCAACATATCTTAACCAGGATTGTTTTTATTTTAATCAACGTTTTTTTTTACTTGATATACACACCTGAAGGGGCTTACAAACTGTACATGGCATTAATAAGATCTTATCACGATTCGAATAATTTTCAAGATTTCATGAATATTGTGTATATCTAAGCAATCGAATATTTTATCATATAATCAGCTTGCACAGAATACTCCTATACAACACTGGCAGCATTTATTTTTACAAGCTGATTTAGTTATTGTTAAAGTAAGAGTGAAGTAACATTACAACAACAATAAAGTTTTCCATAACAATACAAAACTACATAGAAAGTATAAATTACACATAGTCTATCAATATTACTATGTTTTATGTGGGGCTTGCTCGCAGGGTGGTTCACACACTGCGGTTCGGTTATGGCTGACCATCCTCCACCATTATATTGTCCACATAATTGATACAAAAAAAGATAAACTATTCCCATACCCAATATGGATTTTATTACATACTTTTCCTGTATAGAATGATGTATGCTCTCACAACTCCCAGGAATAGACAAATAAATAGTGCAAGAAAAATTCCCAAGATTACTTGTTGGTGGTTGTCTGCAAAAAAAAATTATTATTGATGATTAACTTTTCAATGTAATACTATGTATATTCAGGTTGTATATATAAGTCAATGCATTGATAATAAATAACTGGTTAATTATATTCATATTTTCAAGTTGGAATGGTAATCAGACAAGAGGCTGTAGTACACGTTCACCTTATGACTAAGCCATTTTAACTGCTTTCTTATTTTTGGGGTTAATATTTAAATACTTCAACAGTAACAGAGTATTTCAGGTAAATGAATATGACTTTATTGGACTACATAGTTTACTATGACATAATAAAATTGAATAAGTGAATATGAAAAGAATATGAATTTCATGAATTGGGCAAATATATATTGTATAACATATACCAGGGGTCGGCAAACTACGGAGGCTTCACTTAATTATGGGAAAAAAAGGCAGTTTTGGCGATGAATTAGTTTTATAATCCATGCTCAAGGAGTTAATTATATTCTTTACGTAAGGGAATTTATTGTGAGAAAATAAAATCCATATTCTATTCAGGAGATGTATTACTGCTTGATTTTTTATGAAACAATCTTCTTGAAGGAAATCTCTATCCAAATTTGACAAATCTGGAAACTCAGATTAGTGATGCCTATTTAGAAAATGTCTTAATCTTGGCTTCATCCAGGACGTCGCCTGAGTTCAAAAAGCTATCAAGCGTGATGCAACAACAAGTGTCACATTAATGTCATCGTTAATTTTTTTTTACTAAGACAAGTTAAGTTCACGAATTGTCACAGTCTTCGCGTGCTGTTCAAAATCTAAAAGTTTAACTTCTAATCTGTGTGGAAAAATTGTGATTCATCGTTACGCTTTTACCTATCTGAAAATATGTGCAGCCCGCAAAGAATTGCAACTTTTAATTTTAGCCCGTGAGCGACAAAAGGTTGCCAACCCCTGGCTTCTACATAATATAATATTTTATGAAAACATTCTGCAATCTGCAACATAAATTCTGACTAAAAAAAGGAATTGCAAAATTGTATCTTATCACATTTACATTACTATAAAATTATTGCACAGTATATTGCACAATATAACATACCTGCTTCAATTGTAGGGTTTGTAACTTTGCAAGGGGGGCAAGTTGGTAAAGGTTTCATCTTAGCTTTAGTGGGGCAATCAGGACATGGTGGACACGTTGTGACTGGGCAAACAAATGATCGCTTTTGCCTAAGCATGAGTGCTTCATGCTCGCGTTTGGAGATTCCTAATTCACATTCTCCATTTTTTACGACACTGGATGAATTGCATGTGCACTACAATAAAAATGGAATCATTAGGTTGACCAAGCATTTTCAACATGCAATTAAAGATGACTTACATACGCTAAAGCTTTTGTTTTTGTTCATGTTATTTGGTTTTCTCAGTTTCCTGTGCTGGAGTCAAAGCGAAAAATTTTTCGGTCCAAAGCATAGAGTTGGAGTTGTATTTTAAATGGCTCAGAGTTTGGAGTAGAAATCATGTGTATATTTTTCTTGACTAGACCGCATTGGCAATCTGATAGGAAATATTTGTTTTCGCCATAGATACTATTGGTTATGGTTAACTTGATGTCGGAAAGAAAACTATTGAAACATGAAATTTGATGATAAGAAATCGTTCTATGCAAAAAGCTTGGATGACTAATTTTCCGGCTAATAAAAAAAAAGAACAGTAATTATTCTGAACAACCCATTAACTTAAAAGCGGGCTACATTACATGAATCTATGCTACGAGTACCATTTGATCTTTGAAAATTATAAAAACAAAAGCAGCTGGCATTACAAAGTTGAATAATGAATACCATTATAAAATATATCAACTCAAAGAGAATTATACTTTAGAGGAAGCCTTTAGTGAAAAAAGGGGCAGACTCCAAAAAAAGAAATAATCCTAGTTGCCTACCGGTCAAAAATTGGATCCGGAAAATTGTCTCATTAGCCAAAAAATACAGTAAAATCTGTATTTATATTCAGCATACTTACTATGGTAGGTCCTGTTGATTCACCATCAAAAAGTTTCACTCGATCAATTGAACATACTTCACTGTCCCAGCAATTTGGATCATCATTCCATCTAAGAATTAGAATTTAAAAAATTTGAGTAGGAGTTCAGAAACCATCTAGTACAGGGGTGTGCAACCTTTATTACAGTAGGGCCACATACAAATAACTGGGTGAAACCGCAGGCTGCATCTCTTTCCATGATAGTCTTTCTAGCAGTTGAAGGTAAAAAATTTTGGTTATTGATCTTCGATGACAGGTGTTGTTCGCTTCACACAAGCCAACTGTTCAGGTATTGTAACGTAATAAGCAGGGATATAAATTGGACTTCAGTATAGGCTTTGCATCGCAAATTGCAAAGAGATTGATATCACCCACACATACCAGATTAAACCAGGCCGCATTTAACCTGCGGGCCACAGGTTGCATACCCCTGCTTTATGTACCTCCACAATATTCGAAGCCGTGAACCAGCAAAGGGTAGTTAGCAATGTGATGGTAAGCATGTTTTCAATTAGTTTGATTTACCACACCTTCAAACTATATCTTGGCCACATTGAATTGAAAAAACAACATGAAGCTTTTAAATTGACTTGGCCTTATCCAGTGGATTACGATAGTTAATTATTTCAACACATATAACAGCCTACATACCTGCCTGAAAAAGTTCCTTTTTCACATTTTTTACAATTAGAATATCCTGGTTCAGATTTGTAAGAATGTTTGCAAGGTTCCACTAAATAGAAACCAGGTGGACAATAATAACACAAGCGGCCTTTGTAGTCAGGGTGTTCATATGTCGGCCAGTTGTTAGTTAACTCACTCTTAGCACCGCCTTCCAGGCAAAAGAAGAATGTAACCAGTAACCAAGACTTCATCGTGAATCTTATGATACGGACAGAAACCTTCTACCCTATTTTTCATATTATACCTAATCATTTCTAAAAATACATTGGAAGATAAACATTACCAGCTTGTATAGGGCTTTGTTTGGAACAAAAGGCATGAAAAAGTGTCATATAAAAAAAGAGTAAGTAACAGTGCAAACACATTAGTTAAATTCTACGCTTTATTTTTTCTAACGCAATTGTCAATGAGTTTGCAACTGTCTCTGGCGGTTTTTCCTTTGGCCTCAAACACAATAAGTTCATCTTAACTACAAAATTTAACTTGAAACCATGATTTTGCAGCGGAAATGTGAAAACATGTAACATTAAAAAATTAAGACTATGATAAATTTGACCTGGTCATAATTATCTTTAAATGTTATGTGAAACCTGAAGACTTGAAATGTCAAGTCAACTTGTATTTTATTAGTACTAAACTATTATGAGTTTCTATTTGTTCCGAGTATTATAAGGCAAGTAAACTTTCAATCAAAACAAGCCTAATTACTTGTGTGTATGCAGGAGTGAGATGTTTTAATGTCATTAAATATAGTGTACAACTTTGATTGTATATTTTGTAACTATATCCAGATCATTACGATACAAATAAACATAATATATGGACAGAACGATGGTTATTATTTACATGTTAGGTGGGAACAAAGACATTTCAACAAAGTATACAATAAATACCTTTATTATAACTTGGCAGTGCCTCAAAAATTAGGTTTGGCACTTTTTAGCACACGTGTCCTACAGTTCTGAGTAGAGGATGGTTCACGAAACCGCTGGTCGGTTAAGGCTTTCTCCACCATCAGGTCCAAAAAATAATAACTGGCTAACTAATCCCATACCCGACATGGACTGGTGACCGGATGAGAAGCCATGGTTGGCCATATAATTAAGCCATCTTATCGACTTTCCTCTCCCCTTGGGTAAATATGTAAATTCTATAAGGTAGGTATATGTTGCGGGGCAAAGGATTAAAGTAAGCAAATGAATTGGAATTCATGCTTCACTCTGAATTAGATAGTTTGTTCAGAAGGTTGGAAAGTATATGAAGAGAGATTCAAACACTTTAGAAAAGAGTGATGAGACACATTAACTTAGAATATTGGATATTACATAATTAAATTGATATTATTACTCAAATCCTCTTGTCATACCTGAAACTTCTGTAGTCATGCATGACTTTTCTTTGTCTATTCTACTTGTATAATTTCTCTCTTGTATAGTTTCTGTTTGCTTTATAGACAATATAGTCAGTTTTATTTGTTTACCAAGCTCGCAGTGATGTTTACACACATACTGTGTCTATTCAGCGCAGACGATTCATTGTATATAAATTTTGTGTTGAGTGTGTTGTCAATGTGGTTATGGCAATGATAATTATTTAAAATTGAAAACAAAATGAAGTAAATTAGAGATGACAAAACTTATCATGCTATTATACTTTCCTATTACATTATTATTATTTGTCTTTCCTTTTTTCAGTTTTTGCTCTTCCTTGATCTGAATACCCCAATACAAGGGTCCTATACTATGATGGGATAATGATATAATATTACATTTGGAAATGTTTATTTTCGACCCTTTGTCTTTCAAAATCTCTCACTTGATCTGACAGTGTTCAATTTTCACTGTGGCAGTATGGTGCGCTAAGTATATTTATTTTAGGCACCTATGCAATCATCTTTTATATCATTTTCCAGTTCTATCTGATGTTGGACATTATTATTATTATAATCTACAAAAGAGGGAAAATTCTTGTTTAATAACTTCAGAATTTATTGAATTATGATGAATTACTTTGAAAAAAAAAACACTTGTTATAAAATTTGTAATAGTGTTGATAAGACAAGCAAAAACTTTTTTTATAATAATAATTGTTATCAACCGTTCCTGCCCTTTGTTAGTCAATACTGAATATCATGCGAGGTTGGTATTGTTTGCCTTGTCCCTACTATCGCCATTTTTAGTTCACACTTCATCGTTATCACTTAATTTTATATTCTCATATTATCTTATGCAGTTACCCATAACCTCTTCCCTCCAATAATACCGGTATCAAACTTCACTGTCGACTCCCTCGAACATTACCCAGGGGATTCCCCTGATTTTTTTTTATTGAAGGTGGTTTCACCTCTACAATTTATTGCTTTTAACTGCACAGAATACGCACGATAACAAGAATTGTCCTGTTGTTCAATCTAACTTTGTGAATTGCATACTCAAGTCTTTGGAACCAGAAAGTTTATTTCGACTCCATAATCAGCGTAACAGACAATAAAATAATTAATAAAAACAAATAAATAAAAATTGATTTATGAAATCAGGAGAGCAAACAAACCCTTAGATAGGGTTTGAAACGTACAGAATATACGGTAAGATGGAAGGTTTAGCCAAGAAGAAGTAGTACGTTACAGGAACTTGGATAATTGGTTGGCACTGTATGAAAAAGTTTTTTATTGCTCTAATAATCGAAACTCCGCTCCTACCATGTTAAATTTCCTTTGTGAGCAGTGCGCACAAATGACCTGCTATATGGAATAAATAAGACACCATGTCCAAAGTGTACTTTTGGGATATGTATGTGGAAACTGTGTTACTCTCATTTTATTTCTGTGAATTTTGGAAAAGAGTCAATGCATGGCTAACTGTTGAAGTATAGATTAAACCACAATTTGACACAGAGAAATTTTATTAGGGGTAGGGCAAAACCAAGGTATAAATTGTGTTTTATTATGTGCCAGATATTTCATATACAAATGTAAACTTTGTAATGAGGCCTCGATTTTTATATATAATAAAAAACATTATTAACTGTGAAAAGATCAATGCAACTAGAAATGGTGAACTGTCAATCCATATGAAGAAGTGGAAAATTATCATAAGCTCGTTTTTTCAAGTGCATTGATATTTTTGTATTATTGTGTCTATATAAATGTGATGTTTTGAATATAAAAAAAAAATTACAGAAATTTCTAAAATTTTATGAGTGCGAGAAAGTATTTTGAAAAGCGGTTAATCCCTTACAATTCAGATGAGGTTTATTGTATTGCAGGCTCACCATGTCGTAGAGGTTGCAGTGGCGAAGGCCTGCTTCAAAGATTGAAGAAAATTATCGCTATCCATGTATCCTGAAAGACATACACCATGATGGTAGTAAATGAAGCTTTTATTCTTCTGGTGACAGTCATCCAGATCCTTCATCACAGGTTCGGAGATGTTTGGTTCAACCACCTTATCCAGAGGGTAATAACTTGGGTAGGAAATGATGAATCAGTATTGGTCGTCTAAAGACTTGCGTGGAGTAGAAACACCTCATAACTACATGTGACCCCAACAAATGAAGGACACGAGACTGTGTCATTAGTGAGTAACCGTACTACAAATCCAATCGCAACAATGATGTTGATGGCAACCTACAATATATCTGAATCCTTTCAAAACGAATAGAAAATCTTTGTCTAATTATACATATTGTATTGAAATAGAACATTACAAAATTAAAAATAAATCATCATCATCAAGACAAATAAAATAAGGGAAAAAATCAATAAAATTCATCTCTTCTAATGGATTATGATTCAAATCGAGTAACACAAAACATGAAAAATGAGAGTATTACGAATTATAGAGTAATATGAAAAAAACTAAATCAAAATAAGAGAAAATAAAAACAAAACAGTTGCGTAGCCAGACAAAAAAGAAAAAGCACCAAAATTTTACAAGATTTGATAAAATGTTGAAATACATAATGAAGGAAGCTGTTAAGGTAAATAAAAAACAAAAACAACTATAAAAAGATATTTACAAGTATTTGATGTCTATATGCACTAGATGCACCATAATGCAAAAAATAGTAGTAATGGTAAGTACTTGAACTTATATTGAATTACTATATGAAGATGTATTGAACAAAAAAAGATTAAAAGTTGGAATTGTGTTTTTTTTTATCAATATTTGTTTGGGGTGTAGTTAATTACCGGTACTAATTAACTCATATAGGATAATATCACCTTTCCCCTCACTTGAAAAAAAAAGCTCTTATTCTGATAAAGGATTTTTCTTTCATTATAAAGGAGAAAGAAGCTGGCCAATGAATAGCGAGATCAATTGTCAGTTTATTTGGGTATAGGAGTTGTTGATTAATCCAGATGCAAAGATTTGGATGGTTGAAGAAGTTGTAACCAGCTAGCATTTACATGAACCACCATGTTATAGTGAGAAATTCAGCAATTATTTCACTCCAACCAAGAAATGATTTGGTATAAATGTCTGGATATGAATTTACTTTTTATAGTAGAGACGGAAAAATCAATGCTTTCGAGGAACATATGAGTGTCGCTGTTGCCTCCCATACATCGCAATAACATCACGAGAGTATACCAAATCTGGGCAGAAATCCTGATCATTGAAGAGTCTTCAAAGATAACTTCAATCATCGAATATCATCTCATTGTAGTCATTATTCTTTATTCAGAATTTGTGGATGATTCTTCTTCGTGTTCGTCAACTATCGGCCCTGTAAAAAAAATTTTAAATTTAAATTTTCATGTCTGATGAGAGACAGACTTGAACACTGGGAAATTTTGGCAAGATTGCTCTTTTGATTAGACCACTGGGCCATGGCCCACTGCTGGGCCACAGGAACATTTCCAGGTGGGCCACAAACCTATTAGAAATTGCTAGACATTATTGATAAATTATTTAAATTGGATTGTAAATGAATAATACTACATTTTTTAGCTACCAAATGATCATTTTTATTTTGAATATCACCACGGAACTTTTTGTGTAAGAAAAGTTGACCACCAAAGAAAAAAGATTGATTCATAGCAAAAGACTATTTTTTAGTAATTTATTCCTGAAATTTGTGAAGTCAGTTAATTCTAGGAGGATGCTGTTATAATGTAAACTCCCTTTTGAAAACTTTGAAATCTAAATTTGAAAAAAAAATTCTCAGTAGACTCACTTGCTCCAGATGATTTTGACGTTTTTTTGTGTTCTTCAAATGAATCATTTTGTCCATAACTAAAAAAAAAAACAATAGCAGGTTTTACTATTAATGCACATGTTAAACGTTAAACAAAATGATATAGAAAGTTTCAGAATACATAGCATAAAATAAACACTTGATAGGGGGGGGGGGGTCTATGGTATTCTATATATATGGCTATGGTATGAAGTTTAGTTATATGTAAGAGAATTGCTGTCTCTAACACTGAAAACACAGAGTCCGGTTACAAATAATCTTTGGTGTATAAGCATCACATCCTTTTTAGAATAATTATCTATCAGAATTCATCCAAATGACACTTTACTACTGATTTGCTATACCCTGTAATGATGCCACAAATGTAATCAATTGTTACTCTGGAATCCAGCCCATATATTTACATAATCAAAAATAGAAAGAAACCCAAGGACCCTACAAAATGGTTGAGGCAAAGTCGCAAAGTCAATAAAAATATGACAAAGTTGAGGTAATTAGGACAATTATTTTGAATAATGATAAAATAATGTCAAAAAACAAAATACCTTTCATCCTCCACACTGGCTTTACCTCCATGATCAGGTTTATCATCATCTACATCAATATCCATAATTTCTTTATCATCTTCTGATTTAGCCGCTGAGTCAGGCATCAGTCGTCCTTTTTGAAAAAATCACCGAGTTTACTTTTGTTCATCGGTTAAGCAGCCTTGTAAATTCATTAGGTTGCTTTACTTTTAGAACAGGGCTATGTGGTTAGCATCGCAAAACGTCAGAGATATGCTTGCCGTTTGCACCTTTAATTACCAAATATTGTAGGGAATAATTATGTGTGAAAGGATTGATTAACTCCTCAAGTTACAGCTTCCACCACAACCTACATACAAAGGTTGGCCCACATTCAGGTCAAATAAAATATATCTGTTATTAAATATATTATACAAAATACAATTTGTACATATAAGTTTTAATTCCATTTTAAGGGTTTTACTTATTGTGGGTGACATGTTAAATTACAACAAAAAATTTTCAGATTATATCTATTAATCCTTTGTTAAGATAAGTTTAATATTATGATGGTATAAGTAGAACAACCGTTAACATTGACAATCAATTAGAAATATATATGATAACTGGTGCTACTATAGAACGAAGTCTACTAGGTACCGGCATATGTTGTTCAACCGCAACGGTAGAGGCCTTACAATAAGGAGCTAAAATATGCTCCTAACAATCACTCAGAAATATAGATAAATTTGTACAAGCTTTATTTCCAAACTGTGCAATTTGTTTCATTAATCGCTATTTTATACTGTGCACACATCACTGATACAAAGCAACAAATGTATTTGAAAAAACTTACCTCCTTGTGCCTCCCCTGCCCCACCATCATTCGGATCAGTACTTGGTCCAGGGATCGATTCTGAACAATGGGGTCTATCGAAAGCTCGACTCTGGGGTGGCACTTCCGTATCATCCAGCGGTTGCCGAGGTTGGACGGTCTCTTCAACTGCCCCATTATAATTGGGTTCAGTAATTGGTCCAGAGACGGGTTCGGGGAACGGTAGTCCCCCAGAAGCCCCAATTTCTGGTTGCGCTCCAGTACCACCATGGGGTTGCAGAGATTGGACAGTCTCTCTAACTGCCCCATTATCATTAGGTTCAGTACTTGGTCCAGCGATCGGTTCGGGATAACGAAATCCATCGGCAGCTTCTCCTTGGGGTGGCACTACTGTATCAGTCGAGGGAGGGCGAGGGTCAGCTGTTTCACGAGTCGGTCCACTGATTGTAATTCCGTCATGAATAGGACCGGCTTTATGAAAGAACAAGAAAATTTATACATAAACAGCAGAAATGAATATTAAACTGTTCAAATAGTTATTAGCAATGATAGTCAGTTTGGCACCCCAAGAAAAAATTGTTGAATATGCTAGAAAGTAAAATATTATTCAGCTATTTATCAATATCCCATTTTGCTATAAAATGGGAAACTAACAGAGTATGATATTTCACAATAGGCAAGTGTCACTAAACCCTAAAGCAGATAGTTCTATAGCACAAGTGGGTCTAATCTAAATGTAGCATTTTCTTAAATCAAGGTAGAGTGCAAGCTCTCAGAATTAAACTCAACTCTGAAGTTATCGGTGATTCCTGAATTGCAAAGAGCTAATGAAACTAAACAATATAGATTCAAGGTAGTGCATTAGAAGCCTCCAAATGCTGATTGACACAAGACTTGAAGCTATTCCATTCAGTATAATCAGGAAAACATCTATGATTCATGAATTCCACATGAACAAAGTTTTTGGAAATTAATTTTGACATAAAATTTCTTTGTCCAGGCGATCTACTAACATAAAACAGGTGGAAGCACTTAGAATATAGTGGGTTTTTCTTCAATTTGTCCATAAGAAATATATTTTCATTGACTGGCTCGTAACCTTCTTGCATATAAAATACACTACAAACCTTTATTATCTTTTTGTGACTCTTCAGCATGGTGATGTTCCACTGCAATAATCCTCGCATTCTTCATGGCTTCAGTCCATTCCATTCCAAATTCCTTGCAAATTATATCAGCGATATCAGCATTATTTGATTCAACCAAATATTCAAGTAAGTCTTCAAGAGTTGCAGGTTTGATATTTTGGCTTCGCCATAAGGCAAGTCCATCTCTCATGTACAGATTTGATTTACCTGGAATATGGAATTAAAATATTAGAATATCCCTGAACAAAATAGACATTGTATGTGAAGTTTATCCATGTGGTATTATCACAAAATTCATTCATACAGAAATAAAAATGGGTTAGTTTTTTCTGATTTGAACAAACCTCGGAATAAGTAGCTACTGATATCATGGGATTTGCTATACTTTCCAAACAAAAAAGAATTGTTACAGCCCAGAATTCACATACATAAAGTATTACACTCAACTGGGTCCTGAGATATATAACTTGAGCCGGTATAGTTGGGATAATTATGGGTATTCTATTATACCATTGGCTATTCTTGATCGTCTGAAATCTTAATATAGCAATAGGTAATAATTTGATTTAAACTAAATTGGCCCAACATCTCAAGTTATACCAATAAGAACAAGAAACAAACAATTGTACCTTGTTCTATTTTCTTTATCTGCGTCTGATTCAGCTTCAAATACTCTACACAAAAGTTCCGAGCTCTTTCTGGTGGCATTTTCCACTCAACAATAGCAAATGCTAAAAAACATGAAAGAAAGTTCTATAAAACAGTTAACGGTGAAATCCGGATATTGTAAATCAATAAGATAGAAAGAAAAAATCTGAATAGATAAATTAACTCACCCCGATCCAGTCTATCAATCTTGTGATTTTCTGTAACAAATTAAGAATATTATATTGAAAACAATATTCAATCAAAACAATTTATTGTTCTATTGCTTAGTAAGTTATTACCTCATTAGGCCTAGTTAGACGGGTAACAGTTTAAATTGCAACGACCAATGGTCATTACATTGACGTCAATTAATAATCTGCATAAAATAAGAAAAACTGGTAGAATTAGATGTTGCACACATAGAGCCCTTTGAAGGTGTGATACCTCATCAACTTTCCTCTCAAACCAAAACAAATGTATATAACATATTTCTTTTTTGGGGATTCTTTTTTCGTCGAATGGGTGCTTTTGACATAATTTAACATTAGAAAACAACATAAACGAATCAGTAATGTATAAAGCAAAATATGTAGAAAGAAATTTTACCTTTGTTTTCAGTGAATCCTAGTTCTTGTACTATCTCATCAGCAATCCTGTTGAAATTATGTCGACGTAATGAAGCCAGAACATTGAAAAGGGTGGCATCAACAGGTTTGGATTCCTTGAACCATTTTACAGCTTCTCGAATTTTTGCTGCTCGGTCAATACCTGAAAATTGTTGAAATGAAAGTGAATTACCAAAATATATGTTTAATAGCATTTCATAGACAAAATAGTGCTAAAAAGAGGAAACTGAAAAAATGTGCCTCATAATCCGATAGTGAGTGTATTAATTTTTATATTATAAATAATGCTTGGACAACAGAGATTTCCCTCTGAACCAAGAGACTACGACCAGGGTTGGGACGAAATTATCAATCAAGCCATTCCAAATATGGTTGAGTAATAAATTAGAAGTTCAAGTCTAGAAGCTAAGTGTACATAAATAAATTTATTGCTATCTATTCTAGCTGCTAAGAAACATCACCAACCCATATTATTAATTTTGTTGAGAATATCTGTGTGAAGTTGCAAAACATGACGTGATAAGAGATAACGGTCATCTTTTGTCAAAATTCGATGTTCAAAGATACGAGAAACTAGAAATAAAAAAAAGGGTAAAGTTAAGTATCTATATCAGTAATTGATTACCTTTCAAATTTAAGTCATAGTTTTATCTACATCAGCATTTCTTGACATGGGGCAATTTACCCTGGGGGGTAAATTTTTTAATTCTCATGGGAAAATTTAGTTATTGTCAAAAAAGATTTTGAGTGTAAACAAAACATCTGTTTGCTTGTTTTGTTGCGAGAGTTTTTAATAAAATCATCACCAATGGCTATATTAGGGGTAAATCCTCTTATCTTGTTTGATAAAAGGTAAAATATGCAAAAAGGGTTAAGAACCACTGAACTGCACATTGTATTTTAAATTCAAATGCCCTCACGGTCAGTGGCGAGCCTAGTGGGGGGGGGGGGGGGAGGGAGCAACCGCCCCGGGCAGCACATTGTAGGGGGGCAGCAGAACCAAGCTGTAGAGTTTGCGTTATTACACATGCTCTTCTATATGTGTTCTTATTTAAATAAAAACTAACATTATGTGTTCTGTGGTAATGATTATTCAACAAGGGTTGTTTCCCCGACCCTTGACCCCGGTAAAATTTCCCTATATTTTACAATTACAACATTTTTGATGCTCATTTTTTAAAAAAAAAATGTTTTTTCTTATTTGACTTTTATTTCATTTATTCTCGTGTATAACGTCATCTATAATCGTTTGTTTATCACTCTAATTATTATAGAAGTTAGGTTTAAGGGGCAGCATTATCAGAATCTCGCCCCGGGCAACAGACTAGTTTGGCACGCCCCTGCTCACGGTCCTGCAGGTAATAAATTAGATATGCAATGCCGCTAGTAGATCGATATCAGTGAGTGGCTGCTTATGCAACGCTCCGAAAGTATGTGTACCAAGATGATGCACAACCTGAAGTCCTGAACCCTAACCTGGTACACATACTATGTTCAGGTTGTGCGCCATTTTGGTACACCATCTTGAAGCACCGCTTATACAGGGTCTTGTCCAGAGCAAAAAAAAAACATATAAGTGTAATGATAAAAACAAATTATTCAGACCTAAAAGTTGAAAATATGAATAAAAAGTTGAAATTAAAACTTTTCCACTTTGAAAGACTCGCAAATCTGCATTACCATTTTTTGAATGTAATTTCAGAAATTGAAAGAATCTAAATTTGTTGTGATACAAGAAGACAAAAATCATCTAAAGCAAAAAAGATATAATGATATGTATCACTTACCTTCGTCCCATTTATCTTTCACATCCACGCCACGTACAACATTTGTATCCTGGGCTTGCCTGAAAACAAATATATAATACAATTTTTATATTGATCCGGAGGAGAGAAAAAGACAGCTTAATCATATTTATAACATTAGCATAATTTCTTGTCAGGTTGTCAGTCCACGTCACGTATGTGAATAGTTGAAAACCAATTTATTTCGGGTGCATAGACAGCTGTTATATGAATCCGCCTATTACAGTGGGAAGTCCAGCAATCATTTCATACATAATTACCATCAACGTTACATAATTGTTTCTTTATGTTTGTTGATAATGATTTTTGTCATTTTCGTATTTTCGCAAATTTGTTTCTCAATACTCACTCTCGATCTGCTTTTCCCATCAAATTTGGAAGTCCATCAACAATGTCAAGATGCTTCGTCTCTCCTTGTTCTTCATTCGTTTTGTTTTTTGGAGAAATTTCATCTTCAACTTTTAAATCTCCTTCAATAATATGTTCAATCTTCTTTGCAGATTTTTGAACACTTGTCTTTGAATCTTTATGAACAAATATTTACAATATTAACAGCTCGATGGCATTTTAGTCAAAGCGTTACACTACTTACACATGACTGAGTTGGATCAAAGGTGCTGCGGAAGTATGTGTACCAAGATGACACACAACCTGAACCCTTATCTGGTCCACATACTATGTTCAGGTTGTGTGCCATCTTGGTACACATACTTTGGGAGCAACGGATCAAATCCTTGCAACCACCACAGCCAGGATTCTGGTCTTTCAAAAGATATTAGCCTCTTACATATCGATATATATCTGTGGTTGCATTCATACAATCTCATAGACATATAGTCTCAGTTCAAAGCAAAAGGTAAGAATGAGTTTCATATCAAAAAATCTGAAAGCAAATTGACAACATATACCTGTTGGGGTAATATCTTCACGAGAATCGGAACCCCGGGATCCCTCAGATACTTTCTGGTATGCACCTTTGTCCAGAAGCTCTATAAAGAAAATGATGGGAGAAAAATATATTTAAATTGAAAAATTGAATCATTATTTATTGTAGATATGAATGAACATTCAATGTAGTAGGCTAAATTAGGAAAAGATTCAAATTCTACCACAAAATTAACTAAACTATGATTTTGACCATACTGAGTTTATGATTTAAATATAACTCCAACATATCTCGTAATTACGTAGGGTATTAAAGCCCTATTTTATATACCTGGCAGCAAACATACTTACTTTTCTCACCGTCCTTTTGTAACTCATTACATTGTTTGTGCTTGAATGTTAACATAACAGTTAATATTGTAATGATTATTATTAGTGCCACACATAAAACCACAAACAGAACTGTGGAAGAGTTTGATTCTTCTTTAACTGCGGGTGACACTAGAAGAAGAAGAAGAAAAACAATGAACATGCCAAAGAACAACCATAGTGGAAATGAGCATAAAACATCAAAGATTAGACGATAAAAAAAGTTTTCAAACAAAAAGATTTTCATGTTGCAGCAAGAGGAATCAATAATTTTACGTTGTTCACTTACTGTATGTCTCTATTGTCTAAACGGGCAAATATGATGTTGTTTTAACTGATATGGGTAGTTTTTAAAAAAAAAATTTTGAATAAAATTAAGCGCATAATTGAAAACCTATTACCTAAGCAAGAGGTTACCTAAATCATGTGATAAAAATATTTTAATGCAAAATTGTGCTATTTACAATAATTGAAATGGTAATTAACTGCATTTGAATAAGGACATATGGATACTCTTGATATAGTGGACAAATCATAAAAATATCTGTAGTCTCTACCTGTTTGTTCGTCTACTTTTTGTGCTGTTCTGTTTTTAGGTCAGAGTACCGAAACAAATGGTTGAAAACGTTGCCCACTAAATCTAATCTACTTTCTGTGCCATACTACTAACCTACATACATTTAAAAAATAATTTGCCAAAAAAGAGGAGAAATAATTGTTTTTTCAAAACAAACCTTCAATTTCAGATAACGATATACCATCATCTCTTCTACAAGGAACTTCAAGTGGAGCTTCCACTGTTGTTCCTTCGGTAATGGCTTTCATAGTTGTTGTCGTTGTTGTTTTAGTACTGATCGCTCGGAGATGCCTTAAAGATTGTTCGTTCAATTTCACAAGATATTCCATCTTTTGTTTATTCATCAGTGAATCATGTTTCGTCTTTGAAATTCCATCAATGCATCTTCCATTTTCGACCAACTTTGAAGGCCCACAAACACACTAAAAATTTAAAAGCAATAACGACACCCCATTCCAAATTAAAATGTAACGAAAGACTAAGAGATTAAAAAAACAAATTGTGTGAATACTGAATAGTAATCAAAAATAAAATCTATACATGCTTGCCCAAATTATTTGCCGAGATTTTTTATTAATTCTACTATCGTCAATGATTAAAATTGATAATTAACCAGAAGGATTTATTTACCGGTAGATATATATACATATATATAGGTTGGTTTTTTAATGAGTATGTCAAGTTCGGCTCGACGGTATGGCGCGTCGTGCTAGGCGTTAGGAATATGCTCGCCACCGCATCTCTGATTACCCTTCGTGAGTTCGCAGGTTCGAATCCCATGCGGGGATGATCATGTACGAGAGGATTGCTGGACTCCTCGTCCTCCTTCCTCTCCCCTGGGATGAATATGTAAATTCTATCCTATCCTAAGTCAAGTTAGGTTTATTTTTTCCAACCAGTGAAAAGGTGAGTTTCACACAAAACACAAGGAGAAAAGATAATCACACACTTCAACTGGGGAAGAGAAGTCACAAGGAACCAAAGCTGGTTATGGAGCAGCAAAACCCTGAGATCTAATATCTAATTAAAAAGATCAGGAAGTTCAGTTGATAGTATAGCTTTTATACTGTATAGAAAGTTAATCAACTAATATATTTAGGAATGAATAAATATTTGAAATTACATTAGAAAGCCATGAGAACCTAAGATTATCTGGGTATTCCCAACTTCAGCTACAACGCTTGAAATAATAACTCGGGGAATTTTTGAAGGTGACCTGGATTAGTCGGTATAGCCACATGTATGTTTATTTAGTATGACGCTGTAGTATTAGTAGTACGCTTAGTATGACTTTAATCTAACAAATTTTTAGGTATAAGTTATTTGAAAGACCAATGAGCTCTGAAATTAATGCTAATGTTGTTAAAATCAAAGATGTTCATAAATGTAACCTTAGTCGGTCCTGTGCTTCCTCCACTATATATTTGGTCCTGGTCGTTTGAACAAGTGTCATGATCCCAACAATGTCCATCCGTATTCCATCTTTATTAATATAAAATTTCGATTATTTGTAAAATTATATTTTTGCAATAGTGTAACATAAAGTGTATAGTCAGAATAACATAGATGTAAAAAGTATGCATGAAAAGTACGGTGCGTATAAACGAAAAAGTCATATTAACAAAATATCTATTATATGGCTTTAAGAGTTATGTCCATCTTTCATGCTAATCACTGGATGGAATGGAAGAGAGTTGAAAACAATAGTACTATTAATACCTTTGAGAAAACTGTCCTGAAGGACAAGGAAGACACACTGATTGTCCTGGATTTTTCGAAGTATCTCTTGTAAATTCACATTGTTCAACCATGAAAAATCCTGGAGGGCATTTGAAGCATAACTGAACTCGATATGTAGTGGAAGCTTCATGTTGGTAAGTTGGCCAATCATTTGGCCTTTGTCTCAAAACATTTGCATGAGATGGAACGCATAGAATTGATAAAATTATTACCAATGGTATTAAACAATTAGACACCGTCATGTTGACTTCTTATGTATCTAACAAATAACGTAAATTAATATCATTTTGGAACAGAACTGATAGGACACATAACATGGTATTTTCAGCCGAACAAAATTATGGGAGTGTTACTCTGCCACTCTCGATGTGCATAGTGCAATTCATGCTTCATCAAATCAGATCTACATGGGAATAAGGTAATTTGGGTCGTAAGCGAATGTATTTAGATGATAAATTTTTCAAAGCCGTGTTCTGTACTACAGTGTCCTTACATAGTGTTACTCGCACTTGAAGTACAGTACTCTCCAAAATAAATAAATCCGTTTATTTTAAGTTTGTTTGTTTATTAGTAAGTAGTTCAACTAACCTCATTTTGACTCAGTATGCATGAATCAATAATCCTGATAAATAATAGTATGAATCATTCATTATACATTCCAACCTACAGCTATGAACAGTATAAAGCGTCATTTTCCTATATATTTGACTTTGAGCAAAGCAAATAAAACATTTATACCAATATAAACCATATTCAAATTTGCAACTTCGATTGTGACAATTTGAAAGTGTACTAATTTAGTTATTGGAAGGCCTTTCCTCTTGGAAAAACACCATACCGGTAGTCTGACAGTATGCACGTCTCTCTGTACTCTGTTGATATCACTTAGCACTCTAGCAGCATAGACAGCTGGGCAGCCTGACCGTAAGTACAGAAGTAAGTATACCCAAGAAAGTTTTTTCATAGATTCCAAACAATATTATTTGCCCAAGAAATGTTACTAAGTTATGAGATATCTATACCAAACATACAAAATGGCAAGAAAAGACCTGAAAGGCTGCAATAGAGGAACTAATATTTGTAATGGTGACGTAATGCTGTCTTTTTTAAATATCTGGGGAATTCCCATGTAATTGTTTCGGTTGCCAGGTGTAGTGCGGCGGTATGACTCATCGTACGATCGTACCAAGCGTTAGGAATACGCTCGCCACCGCACCTTTGATTACTCTGCGTGTGTTCGCATTTCGCAGGTTCGAATCCCATACGGGGTGTGTCTATGTGCGGAAGGCTTGCTGGACTCCTCGCAGCCGTAAGGTGGTTCACGTAAACGCTAGTCGATTACGGCCTCCTCCAACATCGAGCCCATGCTTCCGAAAACAAATAACTAACTAATCCCATACCGACATGGAATGGTAACCGGACGAGAGGCCGTGGTTCGCCATATGGTTAAGTCGTCTCATCGGCTTTCCTCTCCCTCGGGTTAAATAGGTAAATATTATCCTTTGATATATCATCATAAATTCAATATTAGATAAGAGAGATAAGATAGGTTTATTTCGACGATAAAATGGTTGATAAAAACAAATTAATAAAAACTGATTATGAAATCAGGAGAGTAAACAAACCTTGGACAAGGTCCAAAACGTACAAGATATAAGATGGAAGGTATTGCCATTAAGAAGTGGTACGTGTTCACTCACCTAAAACTATTGAATCAAATCATTCACACTCGCACACACACACAACCATAGAGCAGTAATAAAATTAGAAAAAAGACAGAAGATTTAGATAAATTATATGGTAACCAAGAAAATAAAAGATGGAATGTGAAAAATAATAAGAATTGTTTGTCACACCATTTTGATAATTTTATAAATATTCCCAAAGGAGGTATGGACCATTAAATTCGTATCCCTTTATATTGGTGTTTGGAGGATCCAAAAGCAATTTTTGTTTGGGACACAATTGTCACACCATGCAAAAACACTCAACTTTGATCATATCACACTATCTACACTTTGGTCAACAAGTCAACTCCACAGCAATAGCTTACCTAAACATAAAGTGCATGCTTACATTGAGAGGTAGAAAACCACATCAAATTAAAACCACCAACACAAAATTAAAAATTTATTAAAGGGGACTGGGGAGAATCCAATATAGCTCGACTGCTCGCCCAGTTACAATACTTGGTATATTGCAGGAACTATAGCCTGCTGTCTACATCCCTCATCAGGATATATCACCAGTCATGCAGAAAACAAAAGCCATCCACGTGTAATAAGAATGATCCCACACCAAAAAAAGCATGACCATGCAATTGTCAGAAAGTGAACAGCTATTCATGAAAAAACACCGTCCAAGTATGTCAGTTACCATCTGACAAAACAAACAACATATATACTGTATATATATATACATACACAGTGATAAGAGTGCCTTCACCAGATTGCGATTGGAATAAGACTAATTACAATTTGAAGCAGGTATAAAAGAGCTACACAGCACACCTAGTCACAGTAGTTAGTAGCTGCAGGAACTATAACAGGATTTTCATAGCTGTTCATAGCTGACAAAAAAACAAAGTGCAAGTGAGGAATGTCCCGACTTTTTGTCATGGATCGTCAAAAAGATATTCATTTTCTTTAAGGTTTTAATTGCTTCAAAACTATTAACACGTATCAGTGAGTTTTTGAAACAGTAATTTTTAATATTTGGAGACTAGATAAGATTTGACTTGTTTTTGAAAAGATTTTTTAAACTTCAATGTTTTCAAATTTGATGGGAGAGAGTTTCAAAGTTTGGGTCCATTAAAACACAGGGAATGCTGGCTCACAGATTTACTCATGAAGAGAGCTACTTCTTCGGTTGGAGGTATTTTTGATAAGTATGTCGTCGAAGCAATTTGGTAGTGCGTTATTATGAAAGTCATAAGCTAATGACAATACTTCAAATTTCATCATATCTTCAACCTTAAGTATATTTTGTGATTTGAAGTAATGGTCTACACTTTCATAACTTTTTTTCTTGAAGACAATTCTTGAAAAATTATTACACGTACTTTGCAATTTTGAGACTAGTGTTTTGTTTCAATGAAGCCAAACTGAGCAACAGTATTGGATGTGGCTGAGTAATAATGATTGATACATTGCTAGTAAAGCCGATTGATTGACACACTGGGAAACCTTGGCAGGAATTGCCAAACTTTTTTTGCTTTACCAATAACATGTGTAATTTGTGATTTCCAAGATAGATTTTCATCAAAGATAACTCCCAAATTTATTTTACTCACTCTTTCAATTTCTTTGCCATTGAGTGATAAAGATTTTGAGCAATTCAAATTTTTATGTTTATTAGGATGGAATAGTACAAATTTAGTCTTGTTGGCATTAAGAAATAGTTTATTAACCAGCATCCAACTGTGAATGTTGGCTAGTTCTTGGTTCGCAACTGCGAATAGATCTTCCAGATTTTCCCCAGAGAATCAAGTCTGTGCCATCAGCAAACATGATTGACCCAGATGAGTCCAGACACCTAGGCGTGTTGTAGATATAGGCTAGGAAGAACAATGGGCCAAGTAAAGATCCTTGGGGAACACCCTGAATTGAGAGAATTTACTTATTTGCCCATGCAGACATGCTTTTCTGTTGACGTTGTTCATTGTTACATTCACGTGAACGTCCGAACAGGACCAAATATAATTGGTTTTACATGTGATACGTGTTCTTAATTCTTAAAGTTCGGACTCTTTGCTGACTTCAGCAATTGTGGGTCACGTTTTATTTTTTTCCGAAAATTCACGACACATTTCTTTCAAGTTGAAGTATAATAAAAGCTCAGTTTTCATTAGTTGTTGTATTCATATTCAAATTAACTTTATCTTTTAGCTTTGTGACGACCCTTGTTTAATTTGTTAAATGATGTAATGTGATATTGGTTCCATATTTGGTACTTGGGGGGGGGGGGGAATCCCCTGGGGCGAGGGGTGAAACACTGTCGAAATCAATAATATAAGTAACTGTGCCATGTTCCAAGCTAAAATACTGAACACAGACTGGAAACATTTTCATGTTTTTGTGATTTGAAGGATCAGTTCGAATGCCAAAAAATAACGGAATTTTCAGATATTGAACTAGAATTTACTCAAATCTTGAAGTGTTGCCTCTTGCCATCTTTGGAAGATTCATGTAAAATATTTGGAAATGTTAATAAAATTGGTATTTCTTTGGCTCTCTGAGCCGGACCAAAGCGAAATTAAAAAGAATAATTCAAAGCTTCAAATAAACGGAAGCGATTTAAGAACGGAACAATATCAAATACAGTAATATACGTAACTATCGATATTGGAAAAAAAAAGGACAATTATCATCTTATAAAGTACAAGGACAGAAATCTCAAATAAAGGATTGTCCTTTGAAATAAAGAACGGTTGGCAACCCTAATGGTAAGCCTACATAAAAGGCACTCAATATAAAGGCCACGTTAACGTTTTACCTCTCTTAATTTATTGCTTTGCTTCAATCATTTCAATATTTTGTGGCCGGTCCGCGAGATCAATATATTTGATGTTAACAGTCCGCCGAGGAAAAATGGTTGGGGTCCATTCACTGGTAGAGACTACAGGATAGAATAGTGTGTACATATGCATCGCGGGGACAGGAAAGGCGATAAGACGTATTATCTATATGGCCAACCACGGCCACTCGTCCGGTTACCATTGCATCTCGGGTATGGAATTAGGTAGTTATTTTTTGTTTTCGGAAGCATGGACTTGATGGTAGAGGAAACCGTAACTGTTTCTCATTGGTCACCATGTCCATATATGTAAGCATCGCTCTGTGGTTATTGGATACGAAATGAACCTATTGATCCTTTTGTTATTATGTTGTTGTTGTTTTTCTTGGTATCTTCTTCTTATCGTTATGAAAAACCGCCATTCTCTTTAACTACTAGGCCACAACATAAAAGTGCAATGTTCTTCTCTTATATTGATTGGTATGGTATGGTTGTAGAAGTAATACAGGAAAGTATGAGACTAGCTGAAAATGGTTCGTTACAGATGTCATTTCCTTGAGTCATCATGGACAGATTTGAAGTTAAAGAAAACTTTTCCGACTCTAACTCGACTACTGGAAGCCTCACTCGTGGGTGTCTATACGACATCTTTCATCAAAGAAACGTGAGATAATATGCCGAGTAAGAAATACCAATAAATTACATCTCACATAAAACACCCAGTTGGCCGAATGACTGTCTTTGGCTGTTTCGT